AAAACATGCAGCTCCTGGCAACATTTGACATGAATATCATTGTTGCTAACGCACCGATGAATATAAACCAACATAAATGGTGGGTGAAAGTCAATTGCAATCACTTGTTGACTTGTCTTGTTGTTTTTTCTTTTTTCAACGATCCAAAATGTTCGTGCTGAACAATCTACCCTACCACGCAGTGTTTGGAAAAGAAAAACACAATCACACTATATTCACAGTATATCTATATCACACAAAGTGCTTTAGGGGCAGTATGTTGAGAGATGGTCTGTATCTTTGGTGCAACCCACTACATCCTAGCAGTGACTCCACTGAAGAGGCCTTCAGATCGTCTCAGATCTACCCTGCGAAAAGTCTTGCTTTATCTTCGTGAATCACCTTCTCGTTGAAACACATTTATAATCATTTATATTTATCTGGGTAAATTATAATATTTCACAAACCTGAATTAAGGCCATTTTGGGATGATTCCCCTTATTAACCATGATTTCCAGTGAGGTCGCAGTGAGGTCGTTATAATTTACCCAGATTTATGTAATTCATATATCTATCTATCACCTAGTTGTAAAACTCAATTCGCAGCTGCAAACCGCTCCCCATGGGGAATATTGATGCCCCGTCAGTGGGCATCACTGCTGAAAATTAAAGATGTGACCACAAACCACATGGTCATTGGCTATATAATATATAATATATATATATAATATATAATATATAATATATATAATAATATATACATAACTATATATATATATACACAATAATATATACATATCATATATAATTATACTTCATTGTATATATTATATATATCATATATCATTATAGAATATTATTTATACATGTATCATTATATATCCATTGTATGTTCCCCATCTTGGTTAAATCCCCTATGTTTGCTCCCTCCATTCACCAAATGTTCCTATGGAATCTATGGACAATCACCATTGCTTAAATGAATTTAGTCATCATAAATCATCAAGTCAATGTTCATCAATGAATGAACCATTTTCCATAGCTATGTTCAATGACCAGAGGGTATATGTCCCAGGTATACTGCAACTCTGTCGGATTGGGCTTTTTCCGGGTCAAGTAACTGCTTCTGGAGCTGCTGTTCTAAGGCCTGCCAATCAGCCAAACATCAACCACGACGTTCCGACTGGGGTCGCTTGGCGGATATTACTAACAATTTTACGGGATAGAGATTAATGGATAGAATTGGATAGATGGGATACATAACGAACATTAGCATCATTAACCAACAATACTATACTTGGATGTGTCTGGAAATCATGTATACCCCCCTCGATTGGCTATTTAAAGTACCAGTAATGGGGAACTCATGATGACAAATCAATGGATTTAGGGGTACCCTATCTTTAGACAGAGCATATGGCAAACCCAATAAGAAGCCCAAATGAATGTGGTTCTGAAGCCGAATCGTTTTGGTTCTTTCACTTCTGGCTGGATTTCATATCATGTCGGTCAGGGCCCCACTCATCCTAGGGATTAAAATCTGAAAGGAGCCTGACGAAATCCACCTGATCTGTAAATCTGCCATAATCTGCCCACTAAATATTGGGTTGTCTCAAAAAAAGAATGAAACCCCAAGTTCATTCAACTTCTGTATTCCATGTTTGCAGACATCACGTTCCTCACAAAATGGCCGACCTGGCGCTCCACATCACAACCGTTCTGCAGCTTCTCCCTGTCAGAGTGCGGTGAGCATGATGCTAAAAATCTAGCAGAAAAGACTGGGATATAGAGATCTATCCCTGATTTTTACAGCACCAAGACACAGACATGGCTGAATTCGGCTGAATGTTATACTTCTTTTCAATCAGCAATCAAAAGTAAACACACAGCTCTTATCCTTGCGATGCTTGTGGTTCTTATCATCCCGTGTTGTTTATCCGCCATTAGGGACGAACACGTAAGAGGTACCTAACAAGTATGGACTCAGTCTCCTCAATTTGTCAGGGAAAATGCAGCATTACCAGGACCCGAACAGGCCGTTGATACCAGCTACAACATGAACCTGGTATTTGAAACCCTGTGGAATTGTACAGTTATGGCCATGGCTATTAGTTATAACTGGTTATTTCCATGGGATTATACATTCTATAAATGGTGTTTTCTTAGTACTTATAACTGGTATTTTGGGCCATAACTGTAGATATTTTGAGCTTGGACGGAGCTGGACGGTCACCGCCCGTTTTGTCGAAAAATCGCACGCGGCACCTCGAACTGGTTGGAACTGGTTGGGATCTGCAGGAATGTCATTGCATGGACCTTTGGTACTGATGCGAATTCAATGGGTATTTCTACAGTTATGGCCTAAAATACCAGTTATAAGTACTAAGAAAACACCATTTATAGAAGGTATAATCCCATAGAAATAACCAGTTATAACTAATAAATGGCCATAACTGTGGTTGGTGGTTGGAACCCCTGAAAAATGATGGAGTTCGTCAGTTGGGATATTTATTCCCAATATATGGAAAATCATAAAACATGTTCCAAACCACCGACCAGATTTGCTTGTGTTGGATCCATCCGTTTATCTACTTCCTATAAACCAACTTACCTACGGTCCACCACAAGGATCCGTCCCAAACCACACTTTTTTCAGGCCAATCTGCGTGGTCCATGTTCATGGCCAGCATCTCGTGATTCCCCCAGAGGGCATGGAATTGGAAAAAAATGATGTTAATCCAATACTATGGACATTGGGCAACTGTGCAGGTCTTTCTAAGTATAAATATATATGTATACATATATATATATAGATATACAGTATATATATACATTGACATATGTTTCCGGTAGTTTTAAGTAATTATCGAAGACATGTCTAACATGTATTCACATCGAAATGGATCATCCCCAACAGGATGGATATCCAAGGTGGAACGGTCCTGGTTTAGTTCACTACAACTGTCGGCCTTATGGGGGACATATCGGACTAGTTAGATGGCGTGACGTAACATATCACAATACGGTTGGGGGCCCCACTTTGTTGGATTTCTGAGCAAAATTTCATTTATGCCATTCAAAAAGCAAAATTTGTTTTGGACCACTTATTGCCTCAATCTGCACATGTGTTTCCAGACAATAATGAAGGGATATATCTATCTGATATACGCCTCTAATCTACTGTTCATATAATTACGTAATAACTTATACATTCACATACCTGAAGTATATGATTATGTCAATACAACTAATACGTTATAGTGTAAATATAAGTCGTATGTTTGTCTGAAAATAGGGCACCCCTTTACTTTCAGTGGTTTATCATCGCCTCCGCATTCAAAATGCTTCTTTGGGAGAATACCAAATGTTCAGATAGACCCAAATATCATAGTTCTATATAGTTATTACTTCAATGTTGATGATATATCACATCGCATCCCATTACATCCCGATTTTTTTCCAAGTCTATCCCATCATTCAGTATGTTGTCCCCCAGAAAAGTTCTTGTAGATGCTTGTAGAAGCCCAGCCATGGCTGATTTTCCCATTTTCTCCCTAGGCGCCAAAAAACCAGTTGGACCTTTAGGGGATGCAAGCGTCGAAGCGGTGAAACGAGCTGCGCAGCGAAGCCCGTTAGTCGTCGCTGCTGCATCGAACACAGGTCGACCAGGAGATAAACGGACTGCTTCGCAAGAGACATAGTCTACATCTATTTATCTGCAGCTATGTCTATGTGCAGGGAAGCATATGATTTGATCATATAAGTCGTATACAATCAAGGTTCATATACCCTCTGGTAGACTAACATAGCCGTGGAAAATCCCCATCTTTAATAGGTAAATCAACGATTTCTATGGGCCATGGCTTCAAGTTCGCAAACTGTTAAATTACCGGAGGGTAATCTACTTACTTGAAGAGTCATGGCACCTGAATGTTCTGGCTCCTCACCTGTGGAGAGCTACGTGAAAATATCCATAGAACTCGTAGAACTAGGAGTGCTTTGAAAAACAGGTCTTGAACTACATAGGAAATTGTGCCTATTATTCATTTGAATCAAAAAAAGGTGCATGTGTATGTGTATATATATATGCATGCACTATATAGTAAATAATATAAAACATATAATTTATAATATATATGATACATAAATAATAATATATAATGTAATACATATATATAATGTAATATATATATATAATGTAATATATATATATATATAAAATGTAATATATATATAATGTAATATATATATATATATAATGTTACATATATAATGTTATATATATAATGTAATATATATATAATGGAATATATATAATGCAATACACACATATATATATATATATATATAATGTCATTTATATATAATATGTAACATATATTTAATGTAATATATATATATATGTATATGTATATATATATATATATAAAATCACAGATAGATAGCCAACAACATGTTCAAAGATCTTGTGTAGTTTGTCTTTTTAAATAAAAACATAGAGCTCTGAATTGGCCAAACATGGTATCAAACAAAAAACCTATATAAATGGTTTCTAGGATACTTGCATATTTATGTATTTACATACCGAATATCTTACAATGTTTGCACATACATAGTATGCATAATTGCATGTACACTATATATATATATAGCCTTGAAACTCCTTGCCTTGAAACTCCATTGAAGTCATTCTAGGTATGCATTTGCACAGGTAAATCTATCTGTGCATCTTGAATTCACCACATTATCTACAAATATGCTTATATGATTGTATATGATTATGACTATATAAGATTGCCAACAATATATTCAATATGCCCATATATATATATATATGTATGATATATATATATATATATATATATGTATATAATTACACATAATATGTTTAGCTTCACCGTGGGTGTTTTTCTGCGAATCGCCGTTTGGACTTTGGTCGAGACGTAACGTTTCTCTACAGGCAGCCGTTGCATTCTGCAGGCTGCGGGTGGAACTGATCCGCCATCGTCATCCGCCAGGCCTCAGTGCGCACCTGGTTCCAGCTGTGAAATGGCCATGGCTATTAGTGAACTAACTGGTTATAAACCTATGGGATAAAATACATGACCTATAAATGGGGTTTTCTGAGTACTTATAACTGGTATTTTGGGCCATAACTGTAGGATTTAATTCTTCAATGGTTGGGTTTAAGGGAAAATCTCACCAAATCCAGGTATAAATCGTGCAGATTTTCCCTTGATTTTACCACTTCTGTCAACCGAAGTATGTGTAGTCTTTGTCCCATTTTTGTTGGTTAGATCCTCAGCCATAGACGTTCGATTCGCTGAATGGGGCTTCTTACAAACAATCGATCGTATAATCATTCAGAAATCAAGCAACACCTTCAGCAAATGAGGCACGAAGAGATACCCATTTACTGTCACTTCAGGCATCATGTTCATCTGGAAGGTCTGTTGCACCATCACAGGTCAACATCCGCAAAAGGTGATCCTGTGACCCTTCACAACGTTGGGAAATCATTCATCGACACTGCAGAATTAGCACGTTGCCATGGCAAGGATTACAAGAATGAAGACAGTCCATGGAAAATCGCACTTGTCCATACTATGATTATATGTATATGATATTATATATATATGATATTGTAATATATTGTATATATATAATATGCACATATATGCACTATCTATATGTATAAAAATCCTCATAATTCAGCACTTCATATCTATCCTGTTTTAGTGCGAAACCCGTCAAAATCATCGAACTAAATAGCCCGTATGTTCCATACGCTAAATTACCAGCAGGTACCCTCTAGTAAGGTGAGGGTTTTTTCACGGTACCCTCTGGTAAACTAACATAGCTATTGAAAATGGCCAGAAAGGTCGTTGATTTACCCATTCAACTGCATTAAACATGGTGATTTTCCATATAGTTATATATGTATGTTTACCAGAGGAAAAAATCATTGATCAATTGGGGAATTGCTTATCGTTGCCTTAAAAAAAAACGGCAACGCGCCATTTCCCCCGGTTGACGTCCCCCGGTCCTGAATCGGGGTGGTAAGGTTGGACCGACGGCCTAGGGATCCAGCCGGCTGGTTGGTGGTTGAGCCACCCCTCTGAAAAATGATGGAGTCACTTGGGGTTGAACAGGAGAAACTATACATTTACCATGTGTTTTTTAGTGAAAATTGAATGGCCAATCTTCGATACCATAAAAGAAAAATGAAAATTCTTAGCTGGTGAACATTCAGATAATCCCATTGATACCAAAAGACTAGTTAGGATTGAACTACCCATCCAGTTGATTGACCTAGACATATCACAAAAAAATATTCAATGTTGGGCAACTGGCAGCTATAGCGACCTCAAGACTTGACCTGATGGATGGGATTACAACATGTTGAAACATCCTTGATTTAAGGACGCCCAGAATGGAGAGTATCGAAGGAGAATCAAAGTAAACATAAATATGTATATATATACATATATATATATACATATATATATATACATATATATGTATATATATGGACGATTTGGTCGCCAAAGTAGATGATCATGTTCAAGCTTGCTGGACATCAGCTAACAGTTGTGGCGGCTGCACCGTGCTTGTAGCGACAGCTTTCTTCGAAAAATACCACATCATACCATATCATTGTTATCCAACTGTGTGCTTCATAGCTACCCTCTGGTAATTTAACATAGCTATTGAAAATGACCATTTATAGTGGATTTTCCCATTGAAAATGGTGATTTTCCATAGCTATGTTAAATTACCAGAGGGTAATGTCTGGGTGTGCCCAATAACTAATCATGTCTGGGTGTGAAATCTATCCAACATCACAACCTGGGGCCATGGACAACAGCTGAAGAACACCCGTGGCTACCATGGAATTTTCGATCTGAGTGCTGGTTGAACATTTGAATTCACTATGGAGAAATATATGGTCACTTGGGGATCAAAGAATTGGCAGGGATGGAACATGACGCAAAGAATGTGACCGTTTCACCATTCTTTCACTTATGACTTTCACTTTCGCGATTTGGCTCCCCAGCGATGAAACGCAGCAACGGAATCTGGGAGCAAAAAGCATGAAGACCAGAGCTAAAGCCTTTCACGGTCTCAGAGATGGATTTTTTCACCACAGGGAGTTGACATGATTTACCATATGGGTCGTTCCATTTACCCCAAGTGGATGGTTTATAATGGAAAATCCATCTATAAATAGATGATTTGGGGGTACCTCTATTTTAGGAAACCTCCATATGTACCCTTTCGTGATTTAAGATAAAACAATGAGAATAACCATTGTTAAACGAGGTAATTCATCAATGGACCATGTTCCATAGCTGTGTTAAATTATCGAGTAACAGGGTTTCAAAGCGTTTATCAACCTTTGACAAACCTAGAAACAGAATCAAATATACCAAACGAAGCATGGGGAAACGGGATTCTCGACCCACTTAGAAAGAGCAATTACCTAGTCACAACAAAGGTTGTATATAATTCAATCATCATAACCATGGAGGGTTTGAAATGATAAAGATTTAACTATCAATGGAGTTTCCCAATACAGTAATTGGATGGTTTCTAGGTTATGCAAAATCCGTGTGAACCACGCATCCCAAAATTAATCATCAATAACCAACAAGGGGGATTGAAGCATCAACATCAGAACCCGGAGCTTCAAAAGGCTCCCAACTGGCCAAAATGGAGCTGTTGTATGGTGCTGAGGTGCACCGTGGAGGGGGCGAGATAGGTTTCTCCTACCTGTGGTTGGAAGGAGATCAATGAATCAAGCGCAGATTGTAAGCGCGGATAACATGTGGCACGCATGAAATTGGCGCTCCAATACAGTAAATGGTCCGTAAGCCTTCAAACTTAGAACTCAAATATTCTGAACTGATTGTACCTATGAGTATACACATTACATAACACATATATATATATATACACATGCACTTCCGTGATCTTACATTTATATGCAAGGATGTGACTTCAAGCGTGTGACTTCAGGCATGCATAACATACATAAGAAATATGTATAATATAGATATATACCGCATATACTACATATATAAAATGTACTGTACACATATAATATACATATAATATACATAAAATATACATATAATATCATAAAATATACTTATATCATACATACATAATACATATATAATACATTAATAGATAATACATATATATAATACATTCATAAATACTGCAAATCATGTGTATATATATATATATTATAAATACACTATGTTATATATGTATAATACATAGTATATATATATATATATGTAAAATGTAACATGATAAGTATATGTAATGAATATATATATATATATATTATATACACATACACGATGTATTACATAAATATGTAATAAATACATAATACATGTATCTATATATATATATATAAATACACCTCTATATATAAATCTAATTATGTGCATTATACAGGGGATCAATCAAGCCAGCCATCCACTTCCCTTTTGGGCCTCCAAAATGCCCAAAGAAAGGCATAGACCTGCAGAAGTGTCAGAAGTGGATCAGTCGTATTTTGGCTTCCCGGGTTTCCTCATTCAAACAGCTTCAGAAAGCTTAAGAAATACTTCAGCATCTGTTCAGAAGTCCGGTCCATGCAACTGTCATAAATCCATATAGATCCTATACTTCAAGCTGATCAGCGACCAGATTCAACACCAAACGGTTAAGCGTCAATCAGATACCAGCTATGTCATCTCAGCCCACGAAGAACCGAACAGGAGGTGAATAGAAAAACCTGTTTGAAAAAATCCACCAACCAAGTAGCTCTCTTTTACAATGTGGGAAATCCAATAATATATATATATATACCATCTTGTTATTTAATATAGCTATAGACAATCACCATTTTTAATAGGTAAACCCTCTATAAATGGGCCATTTCCCATGGCTATGTTAAATAGCCAGAGGGTATATATATATATATACATAAACCTGCCATTCGGGGATGACTGGTTCCACCTACTTGTGGTGATAAAAAGGATGGTCTATTGATAAGAATGGAGTTTTAACCACATTACAGTCACATTACAGAGAAACAAGGTCCAGCGGACTTCATTGGCAATTAAAAAGCTACCATACATACATATATATATATATTTGCTTGGTGGTTTCAACCCCTCAGAAAAATGATGGAGTTCGTCAGTTGGGATGATTATATATTCCCAATATGATGGGAAAGTCAATCCAAATTCCATGGTTCCAGTCACCACCAACCAGTGATTATTAACCATCATTAACCATCATTAACCATCATTAACCACCATTAACCATCATTAACCATCATTAACCATCATTACCCCATACTAAATGCAGGTTTTTTTGTTCACTTTACATCTCCTCGCGATGATCGCTGTTCATCTCCGCGGTGATGGAAATCCGGAAATTCCCCATGGATTTTCCATGGGCCATGCGGCCATGTACCGGAGGGTGTATATATATATGAATAGCCGGCCTGGTAAACACACAAAAAAGTTCCGAACTGGAAAATCACCTTTTTTCATAGGTAAATCATCTCAAACATATCTATAAATGGTCCATGTTCGCTATGTTAGATTACCGGAGGGTAGTCTTTTTACACAAGTCTGCAGCTCAAGTAGTAGCAATTCCCATATTGGTTTGCTTGAAAATAGGGCATCCATCAGTATCCAATAACTCAGTGATGTGTTGTTTCTTAGTTGTTCGTTGCTTTCCAACTCGAACACGAGTTCTGAGGTATACCATACTGTGGATGAAATAAATCCTGCACCAGTTGATATATGGTTTATCCTCTTATAATCCCATTATTTACAGTGTTTCATAGTCAGCTAACGTTTGCCAACTGGTGCAGGATTTCGCAACCATCCACTGACCATCCACTGACCATCCACTGTATTTCTTGGTGAAATCCCTAAGTATCATGGTGAACTCCCGGTGCCAAACATCCCAATATCCGATGGCATAGTTCAAACATATAAACTCCACTACATAGAAGGAATTTATTCAGGAATTCTTCACGTTCACTCAGAAATATTTTCCATATAGTTCCTTCATATTCCTTAGATATCATGTTCACTCATACATGTTTCATGAATATTTTCCAATTTTCAGGATAGAAATCATGTTAGTTCCAGATCTATTTTCACGAAAGATCCAAGCCCACCAGGGCTCACCATGGCTCACCATGGCTCATCGGCTCGCCTCCAGCAGCAGTCATCGCGCCCTTGTTGCCCAGCCAGTCATTCCTGGCATTTTTTCACCATTTTTTGACCATTTATAGAGGAAATCACCATCTTTAATAGGTAAATCATCTATAATATCTATAAATGGTCCATGTAAATTATGACACTCATGCCAGGAATTATGACATTTATGACATTTATATACATTTATATTACACTTAAATGAATACCTGGCATGTAAATAATGATAAATTCATGACATCTATTGGACATGACATTCATGACATTTCACTTGCAAGACTTGGATGTGTCTGAAAATAAGGGATTTACACAGATTTATCTCCATCAATTGGCCTCTCCGGAAGGGAATATGATGATAAACCATTGGGACCAGATTTCAGGCTACCCATGGCTATCCTATTTTCAAAGCCATCGAAGTCACATTACATGGCACCATGGTCAAGTTACATGGCACCTATGGATGGAATGTGCTGTAGAAACTTTGGGATGGTGAGTGGAGATCCATGCGTGTACATATAAATAAATCTACATTAATATAGTTTGTACATAATATATATATATACCCTCTGGTTATTTTAGATAGCTATGGACAAAATGACCATTTACATATGATTTTCCCAGCTAGAAACCTCCATATAATGGATTTTCCATAGTTATGTTAGTTTACCAGAGGGTGCCATGGATTTTTTTGAAACAATGATGCCAACGTTTGTGCAATTCCGCAACAGGAGCATCATCTTCCAAGAGACAAAGGTTGGATGGATACAGATGGATTATAATGGGGATATAATAGTGGGGATAATATAGGGATAATATGGGATATATCTATGGGATAATATCTATATATAGATGGATATAATATGGATATTATCCCTATATTATCCCATTATAGATAAAATATGGATATAATCCAAACTAGTGGGGATAATATAGGGATAATATGGGATATATTACCATCTATAGATCTACCATTGGATTCCATGGCCCATTTAGTTCGATGATTTACTTCTTGTTTCCATCGTGATTTTTCATAGCAAACGGTTGAATGAACGGGTACAGGTTAGGAAACAACTTGAATCGTGGTGCCGCCTACTGCCTCACTATGGTGATGAACGCACTATCCAGCAGAAGCATATGCTCTTTCTACCAATGCCACTCTAGACCAAGATCAGGTCATGCCCCAGTTCGTCAGCTAAGTTGGTTGATAACTATTACAATACAGCTAGGCTGCTAGTGGTGAAGAACTACCTATACGTAGTTAGATGATCTTATTAAACTGACAAACATCAAATAATGCTTTGGGGGGCACCACCTTGCATAGCAATCATCTTTCCATGGTTGTGGGTCAAAACCTGTTTACCTTACACCAACATGGCTGGTAAATGGATGTTCACCACCCCAAATCTGGCGTTATAGGTTTGGATCCATCCCCCTCCCGGATACCCTCCTGTCAACATCTGTCAACTAATCTGATTGGTGGTTTTTCGCCACCCCTCTGAAAAATATGAGTTCGTCAAATGGGAGTATGATTTCCAACTGAATGGAAAAATTGTCCAAAACATTCCAAAACCACCAAGTTGATTGACATATTCCATTGATATTCCAGAAAATATTCCATTTACTATATAGATATATCTACCATAAAGTACTATTGATCTGAAAAAAGAACGCTTATTTGTAGATCATGCTCTGCGGGAAACCGGGAAACCATCGTTATCCGGTCCACGGTCATCATCCAACAGGGAACGAGTCGGAAAATGACAGGGCCTGGTCGCTAGGATCAAGCGCTTCTCTTCAACACCCCATTGGTGCCAAATGCCACCTGAGATGTCCGGATCCAAAGAAACGGAAAGCGACCGTTGATGATTTGCTAAAGCTTTCTGGGAAGCTATAACTGTGTAACTTTTCAGTTGATTTACGAGTAATGGATCTACTGTATCTGAACATACTGTAGTTTTTATATCCTACATTTTGTAGGCCCAAAGGTCACTCCTGTGGGCCATTGTGATCCATTTTGCACGGACTGCCTGCAAGACCAGCAAGCGGGATCCAACAAAAACATGAGCCGGATGAGCTTTCACAATGATAGCTATATCACGCCATATCTATAGGCTAACTCCACTAGGGTTGCTAGATGTTTACAGCTCGCTTTATCTTGCCGACATTCAACTCCCTCCTTGGATGTGCATTCCTGAAATTGGGGTAGTGGGTAATATCCAGGCATTGTACCACAGCTGCGGGATATACCCCTGTTATGGCTTATCAATATCACCAATAACTATGTTACTATGTAGAATGTATTAGAATATGCTTATAGTTATTGCCACTTGATTGTGCTTATATATGCCACAAAGTGGGCCCCTATATAGCTTGGTTGGTTTATAACTCCAATAACTCACTTAACGCTGCTGATTCCGCCGAGAGTTGCCGAGAGTGGGATAGTCATGGAATCTCCATGGGAATCCAAACATGATGGGTTTATAAACGTCTATGAACATATGTACCAGATATGTATAACATATATATATATATATTTGTAGGGGACTCTATGATATCTCCATGCGAGCAGGTTTGAGGCCATTTCTCTCACGATCATGCAGTTATGGCCATCAGCAGTTACAAATGGACATATAACTCAGCTTCTTTTTTCGTGAAAAAAAACCTAAACAACTGGTTGGTGGTTTTTTCACCATCTTGAAAAATATGAGTTCGTCAATGGGAAGGATGACATCCCATATGAAATGGAATCCATAAAACATGTTCCAAACCACCAACCAGTGTATATATAAATATTAACATATATTAACCAACAATAGCAGTTATAAAACATCTTCCAGTCACCACCAACCATCAAAAAAGTCACCAGGTGTTTCTGAGCTGCCAGGCTATTGGCCACAAAGTCCACCTTGTAGCTACCGCTCTTCAGGCCTCCTCTGATCACGGCCTGCGAAAAGAAAACGACAAAATCTGTGCTGACCATAGGATAGAAAACATGTATCCAGGTGAAATCTATGGAAAAAAACATAGGAATTGGCAGTTTCTGTTGCTGAAACAATGTTGGTCTTACTGATTACAACGTTGCTTGAGTTGCTTAAAAATTCACTCATATGAAAAACTGTTGGGTTTAGGTATTATCATGTATTATCTATATAGTTCACACCAGGTTATTGTAAAGTTGTTAGTGGTCAACTAGGAAACAAACACTTGTGTCGCTGATGCTCTACCAATTCTCAGTGAAAAATCAGTGAAATCCTAACTGACTTTGGAAAAAAAGCCGTGGGGGTTGAATCCACATTGTTGTTCCGTACTTAGCTCTGGTAATTTGTTACATAGCTATGGAAAATGGCTGATTTATAGATGGTTTACCTATTAAAGCGGAAGTTTTCCAAAGCTATATGTTAGTTTACCAAAGGGCACCTCATCTTAACTCCACTCGTTCTGTTCCGAGTAGGATTCAAAAAAAGCAACTTTTAATAATCAACAGTCCGCAGCTTTCTATTTTCATGGTTGTCCCATCCACCCGACTAAGGCCGCAACCCATAGGTTTCGCACATGTGGAGCAACTGGAGTTCTGTGCCAGACCTGGAGACGTTCAAAAATCTGGGTTTCATGGGCTTTGGTCTGGATATCTATCGCTATTTCTTGATACGTAAAACATGTGATACAATCGTAGATTGTATCATTTATAGTATCATTTGTAGTATCTCTAATTGTAGTTTTAATATGGGGATGTGTTGATCTAAATGGGGGACCATCGTCAATGATGGGGACAAACGTCCAGCAGTAGGAGCTAGTTTGGTGCGAACAATGGGGTACCAGGTTTTGACCCGCATCCAAAGGTTGTAGGGGGGAGTTTACCCCTGTGTACCAATAAGTCGAATAAAAAGACAACATATCAGGGCCCCTGTTCAAAAACAACCCCAAAAAATTGGGATCTATCATGTTCAGACATGGGCGTGATTCGTAATCAATGTCATAATGGGATAATGGCTAGGGCCGGATGGTCATCCGCTTGGAACAGATGCTTGGGGTGCTCAAATTTCAAAACTTTAGCCACCAAATGACTCCACCTGCAGCTTTCACTTCAGGGACTCAACTGGTGTCAGTTTGGGGGATACCCTCTTGTAAACTAACATAACTATGGAAAATCACCGTTTTTAATGGGTAAATTCACCATAAATGGCCATTTTCCATAGCTATGTTAGTTTACCAGAGGGTATGTTTCCCTTTCTTCCAAAGGACTCAGCGATTGATTGAACCACAAATAGTCTACTGAGACAGCTTGAGAGGACTTGCTCGAATTTGCTCCACAATTGAGAGGGGAATTCTAGCCCACCTGAAAAAATGTGACAATTAAATTGGGCATTGTCTTCTCCACTGAGTAAGTATGAAGTTGAACAGTGAAACCTGTTGCAATGGAAGTGCAGTTTGGTCGTCTTTTCTATCATCTATTTTTTTTGTTTAATTACATAACATTACCTGGTTGGTGGTTTCAACCCCTCTGAAAAATATGAAAGTCAGTTGGGATGATTATTACCAACATATGGAAAAAATCAATGTTCCAAACCACCAACCAGTTACATGTATTATGTTTAGGTCTTGCTGAGTCTTGCTGGTCGAATCCCAAAATCTCTGCGGGTCAACCACCATGTTCCATGTATTTCTATATGTATAAATTACGATTAACCACCCCATGTCTTTACTTTTTGTTTGCTAAAAAAACATGTAAAAACCACAAGGTGGTGCCCCCCACATAGTAACGAGTTCGATATATCTATCTATATATTTATCTATCTATCTATCTATCAATCTATCTATCTACCTAACTACCATAAACCAAACGCTATGTTTGTTGGGTCAATTATAACCCCCATGAATACTATAGTTACAAGTATCATAAACCCTAGTTGTTGGAGTTATGAATCACCTTTGCCAAAAACCATAGTTACTACATATATGAGATACCTACCATAAATCATAAATCCAACAGTTCAATTGGAGTTCCGATTCCACAGGTTGTTTTCACAACCTGTGGGTCACCGTCCTCCTAAATTCTCGTCGCCCCAACAAGCGGCACCTGCCAGTAGGGCAGCACCTCTGGTGACAGCCATGTGTTGATCCTCGCGACGACGACTCATCGGGGGTGAAATTTCTTTCATGGGGATTTCAATGCAGAATCAGCATATTCATGATTATATGATGATGAAAAATATAGTCATGATTAATACATATATGTTTTTCATCATCATACATGAGATATCATACATGAATGTGCTATAAACCAGCATGTGATGAAAACAATGAATAGTGATATTTTATATGATGGTGATCAGCATGAATCATACCTGATTATCACCATGAGATTTATTCTTTTCTGAAATAATGAATCAGTCCAGATTGATGTCTCATTGATACTTAGTGAAACAGCTATTTCATTGTGTTTTTTTTGAGGCAAAACCTATTGATACTTAGTTTTCTGAAATGATGCATTTCTGTAGCTATGTCATATTCATACCAGTATTTATATATATATACTTGTATCATCGAATAACTATTAGTGATATACATATGGTATATTGGTACTGATACTGATCAATATAATACTGATACCGATATTACCGATACTGGTGAAATACTGTATTTATGGGTATAATGCTGATATATATATATATATACCGATAGTGAAATACTGATACTGATTCAGATACAGGTATACTACTGCAAAATCAGGCTGGTGGACTTCAAATAGGGAGTTGGTGAATTTATCTGACATTAATTGACTACTGCATGTATCATGGATGTGGTGAAGCCACGAATACACTATCCTGGATACTACTGTAAATGTATGGTAAAAAAAACACATAAGAACTATCTCCAAAAGGTAGGTTTATTGTAGTATTGTTATGTGCTCCACATTAATGGTAGAATTGAATATGGACTTGGTGAATGTAGTGTTTGTAATGGATTTGTCGGACGTCGTGACTCAACGAGTTTTTTTTTAAATCTTCTGACTAGAATTGACTATATGCAGCAATCATTCACATAGATTCATTAAAGAGCCTTGGGTTACTCCTGAAAGGGCTACTCCTAAAAGTTGCTATCATTTCAAAAAACCTCAAACATTCTCAAAACATCCAAACAACTATAAAACATACCAAACAAAACAACTAAAACAAACAAAAATGAAAAACAAACTCACAACTTGCAAAAAAAACAAACAAACGATACACAATCCAAACATGTTTCAAACAAAATCAACTGGTTCCAAACAAACCCAAGAAGTTCATAGAAGTTTCACATAAAAAAAAAAAAAAACGGTAAAACTAATACCAAAAACAATCTAAAATTAATGTTATATATATATTTAAATAGTATCAATGAACAATATTGGAATGAAATTGAACTGTTTGGAATGAAATGGATGTGTTTGGAATTAAAATGATTGAACATGTTTTTTTTTTTTGACTAGGAATGTTCCCATAGGGAATGTCCCCCTCCGTAGACAAAACAGATGTAAGCGAAAAAAAACAAGTAAAACATACGTTCGGAAGAAACCAACACACATCGATATACAACAACATCCCATATGCTCCATGGCATATCTACTAGCATTCATCCCAAAAAGGGTTCCGTTATGTAGGTAAACACAAAACACATAGAGCCAATGGACTATCAGAAGTTGACCCATAGCGGCGGTGGTACCCACAGTCACGTTCTGCTTGTTACTCGTTTCAGTATCACTTACAACTCATTACAACTCCAGTTATGAAAAAATTACAACGATAAGCCGTAATTCCTAATTAACACATGTTACAAGTTATAAACCAACGCGGCTGATTCAGAGGGGGCACCACCTTAGAACAAGTACTGAATAAACTTTGGATGAACAATTGCAGCGGAAAATGACGTGACCCGTGACCAGCCACGTTAGAAAGGTGGTGCCCCAGGTCGTTCGCTCAGTCGCTTGACAAATAGAATCACTTTTCTTGAGGGATATGAAATAACATGAAATAACTATAGTTCGAGCAACAAAGTTTGGGGGATAAAAGCAAAAACATTGCTTTCTGTTTTTGTTAAAACATGGGGTAAGATGAAGCAACAAACTTAACGTTTGGGGGAACCACATTGTGTACATCTGTGTTCAACCCCCAAAAACAAATGATCCAAGTTGCGGGCCAAAAGGTTAGGAACCCTCCCATAAACTAACATAGATATGGAAAACCCATCATTCATGAATTTCAAACGGAAGTTTCCATGGGTTTTCTATGGTTTTCTACATCTACGTTAGTTGACCCTAGGCTAAACCATGGGTTTTAATCGTGCAGAACCACGGAAGTTGGATCCAGCGAACCACCCCTGCGCTGCGGCACCTTTGACCCGACCTTGGCAGGGAGTGGATCCCCTGGGGAACCCTCTGCCGAGCGGAACAGTGGTGATGGAACCAATGGCTATAGCGGCTACCAGAGGCTATGGAACCAAAGTTATCTATGATGTCTATGATGTCTATTTCACCAAAGTTCGGTGGTTTCAGAGGCCATGAGGTCTATGAATTGCATTTTTGTTCAACCGAATCCTCTGGCTACATGAGGGTCTGGTGCACAAAGATTGTAGCTTCGCAATTTCGCAAGCGTCTTTTCAACGTTTGTACATAAAGATTTTGTCACATACAAATAGAGATGACTATAGTGGAATACAGTAGAAATACCCTCTGGTAATTTGTTACATAGCTATTGAAAATGGCCCAGTCGAAATAGTGGATTTACCCATTAGAAATAGTGGATTTTTCCATAGCTATGTTAGTTTACCAGAGGGTACCTCATCCCATGAAACATGGTGATTTTCCATAGCTATGTTAGTTTACCAGAGGGTACACATTCTGGAATGGTGAACCATCCGCTGCAAACATCCTGCAGTACCTCCGAAATTTCCCATGGTCCCTGAGAGCAGGTCTCTTCGATGTAGATCTGACTTTCACCTCCGGAGTGTTCCATGCAGAGATGCGACCGTCAAACGATTGTACAATGTGCGGCCCCCGGCCACGATAGCGTTCAGTTGGTGCCAATAACTCCAATAACTGTATGGTTTATGGTACTTATTACTATAGTTACTGGGGCTTATACATCTACTATCATCTACTTATAACTGGGCCTCACATTGTAGCTATTTGGAGGTGATACATCAATGATCTGGGCAAAGCTCAATGAATTTTCTGATGCATTCGTGGTGACTTCCCTGAATCACATGTCGATTCTCCTTGAGAACAAAAACAAACCGACATGTGACATACCTACAAGGTTGCCCCCTAGTTATAAGATGTTATAAGTTTGTTCAATAAACCATCTAACTATGGCTAGTATCACCGTAAACCCTAGTGAAGCTAGTTGTACCTGTTAGCTTATCGACTTCAGACTTGTTTTATCGGCAGTCCACATCAATCCACACAGCTCAGTTGGTCATCTCTACCCTAGTCATGTGGTAATGATTCATAACCAGGATATACATATATCCCAAGTAACTATGGTTAATAACTCCAATAACTATATGGTTTATGGTACTTATAACTAACTATGGCTACTGGCGCTTACAAACCAACTTATAACTGGGGGGGGGCTCACATTGCAGGATATAGAGATATCCCAAATATATGCCGGTTGAACATGAAAACAACATGAAATTGCACCAAGCAGTGAATGCAGGGGATGTAATTTAAGTCCCCTCTAGGGAAAGTTCTGCAGTGGCACCTTCCCCTGGCAGCTTCAGCTTTCCAAACCTCAGTGATGGACGATGTTGGGAAATCCACAGTTTTGAGATCATTGAATGGCAAAAAATCGTGAAATCAAAACCAATACCAATCATAAATCATTGGATTTCCGTAGGTCTGTTTTTGCTGCTACTTGAGTTGATTGCCATTTTGCTGCTGCCAAAATGTGTTCACGTTTCTACCACCATTCTCTTGCCAGAAATTGTGAGTTGATTGAGGCTTGGGCACAAATGCCGGAAAGCATGTGAACCTTCTTAGTACAAGGGTAGCCAAGTTGATTTATAACTGACTATAGTAAAACCAATTCGGCTTTGTGGCAATGAAAAGACAACAGTTAGAGGATTTTGGAGGCCGGTTGTTAACCAACCTAGCTACAGTATGCTACAGTTATATAATTATATGGGTCACCACCTTGTACCCCGGTAGCATCAACCTCTTGCCAACCATCCAGGCTGGCACTTTGAATTGAGCAACCCATCTAATCAGTGAATTCACTATTGCCGAGTTTGATGTAGTGTCACACATTTAGGATCACATAAGAAAAGGTATGAATTTCTCTGATATGGTGTACCCCCAAACTCCGTGATGATTCATCATGTCCCATCAAAAATACCATGAAACAAAATGAAAAAAGGTGTTAGTTATGTGTCAATCCCCGTGTTCAGTCACACCCACAAACAAAATTCATATGGAATCTCTTGGCCATATCAGGCCATATCCCATGAAAATCCATGAAATATCACGGTTTACCCATGTGATGCACCTCCTATGGACATCTCAAACGCCCAAGCAACGCTTCTGCATCGTAGGGATTCGTGATGTCCGAGGCGTCCGTGTCGATCCTGGCCATCAACGGCTTAATAACCCATAGGATCCATGGTGCTGGTATCTATGCTAACATGACTGGGGTATATTGATGGTAAATGTATGTAAATGTTACCATATATAGCAGCACCATGGATCCGTCATGGGTAAGATGTTATAGCTGGTTGGTGGTTGACCTAGCCCTCTGAAAAATGATGGAGTCAGTTCGTCAGTTGGGATGATGACATTCCCAATATATGGAAAGTCATAAAATTCCATGGTTCCAAACCACCAACCAGTATAAGTTGGCGATAGGGTACACATGGCTATCATTTCTTGTAATCACCAACCTGACTTGAGGCGGAATGTGGATTCCCGATTCGTACATTCGAAAATGTGAGGCCTTGGAGAATGTTCGAACATATCCCAATCAAAAGGGGTTATACTTGGTGGTTCACCCCAGTTGGCAAGTAGATTATAACCTTAAATGATAAATGGTTGCAATTGTAATTAATTAAGTAGAGAGCGTCAGGGGTACGGGTTAGTTCAGCTATATCGGGGGGTTCTTATCTACTGGGGTCAAGCACCAAGTAGCACCCATCTACTCCCAGATTGATGTTACCATGACTGAGTCGCCAGCGTCCCTTAAAGAACACATTTCGTAATCAGAAATCAAGCGGGTATAGGTCCTGGGGCACCAATGGTCCCACCATGGTTTTTAGGTTGTTTATAGACATGTTTGCCTGTCTGAAAATAGGATACTCCCCGAATCCCATGGGTGAATACATCCTTTTCCCTGTCAACATTGCCAAAATTTTGGGGCAACTGCCCACACTTATAATAGATGATTTACCAGAAATAACGACTGGAGCTGAAAAAAAACCATGGACCCTGGCTGAAAAACCTGGGATCTCCGGAGAAAGGGTAAATTCCTGGCAACAGTTTCAGCAAACCTTTGGGAACCACTGAAAAAGGAGAACACTGACTAACCACCCGAAAAAAAAATCATACAATGTGAGGCCCCCAAGATAGCTAAGTTGGTTTATAACTCCAATAACTATGGTTTATGGTACTTATTACTATAGTTACTGGGGCTTATAAATCTACTTTTAACTGGGGGGCCTCACGTTGTACCTCATCACAGAAATACCCCCAAATCAAGAGAGACAAGTAATACGCTGCGGCGAAAAACAACTCAAAGTCCTCAAACACATAAAAACAAACCAAACGTTCACCGTGAGCGGTGGCCCACCTCTCACATCCCTGACTGGTGGATCGATGGAAAGTGAAGTTGTCAGTAAACCTGGGCCGATTTCCGTCGGAAACCATGAGGTGTTCCATGTCTTTTTCCCACTATGAAAAGGGAGAAACTACATGGAAACTGAAACTGTCCCCTCATCCAGTGTGTCCATTTGCACCACAGTTTTGAGATCTTGGATATGGCCAAGCATCAAACCTGGGAAAAAAAAAAAACGATAGAATCGCTGGAAGTGGAAGAAATTGCTGGTGTTGCCTTTTTATTGCTTCATTTTCCCTTTTTCGTCGGTTTCCCAGAACTGCTTGCTCTGTTTTCCCCTGAGTGTTGCCTCAGCAAAAACATCGACCAACCCTATTTGGGAGTATAGTTGGGGCTGTAAATATGTATATGTATATATGTTATGGTGATAAAACCTCATAAGCTGGGATACAACTACAATAACTATCGTTATAATATATCCACTTCGTTGATGAAAAATGGCTATAGTAATGGCTAATAAATACTTGGAACGGTTAACAACTCTGGTGATAATGGATATAAACATAGTTATTAATCATTCCAAGCAATTCTTATTAATTACTGTATGTTTCAGGTTCATAACTTGGTTATATCATGTTATGTCCACTTGTAAGTCTGGGTAAACTCTGATAATTCACATTAACTATATGTACTGTAACTTATAATGTGGTTCTGTAGAATCTAATCATTCACATTATGTAATTGGAGAATATTGGAAGTGTCCTAAAATGGGGGTACCCCCAAATCATCCAAGTCATGAGACCATTTGAGTATTGTCCATGGTGACGGGGGATCCCATGCTGGGCCACCGAACATTGACACGGAGATAAGGCCGCAAGGTACCAGGGAGTCGGCATCGCCAGCTGGCCATGGTGACTAGTCACGTCATGCTGACCGACTGACGATCATCCCTTATGGAATCCTTATGGGTCGTAAACTGACACTCTGGTGGCGAACTACCCAGGAATCGTAAGTGGATTATAAGCCCAGTAGCGGGATAAGTAGGATTAATCCACCTACTAAAAGTAGGGTTAATCCAGCCACTTACTAAGTGGGATTAGCCACCAAGTAGATATTCATCTTGGTGTGTTTCGAACTTGGGTGGTACCAGAATAGCCCCTTCCAATTTCTGAATTTATAAGTGTTGATTGATGTTACTTGCTGATAAACAAACACTTAGAATGGTCATGAACGGTCCAAATTGAGAGCTGGTTGGTGGTTTCAACTCTCTGACAAATATGAAAGTCAGTTGGGATGATGACATTCCCAATATATGGAAAGTCATAAAATTCCATGGTTCCAAACCACCAACCAGAGAGATAACATGAGATAACCCCATTTTGACAAACCTCCAGCGCCGACAAGCCCTGCCTTCGATCATGTCCAAGAAAGTGGTGTCATTGCCACGGCGCAACCTGCAGAACCAGCAGGGGATGGATCCCGGATAGCCCTTCTCGGTTGACGGATCCCATGATGGGCTGGGGTTACCCGGCCGGAAACATAGAGTTTAAGCGAACTGGAAGCCATGGCCCAGTCGAAATAGTTGATTATCCCCATCTGGTGCACTCCGGAGAGTCCTGTCCTGGGAAAATATCGTGATTAATTTTTGGGGTCCTGACCTTTTTAAGATTAAAATCCTGGTGCTTGACCTTACTTGCCGGAATTTATAGTCTCAGACGAATAAAACTTGCAGCCAATAATTTCTTGATGCTTAAGGTTTCCAGAAAGGCATTTCTCCCCCTCTAATATCAATTAAATTCCTGGGTGCCAACCCTTATATAAAGCTCAACAAACAACCCCTCAACATATGCTGTTAACCGACTTATTTCCATGGTAAAGAACACAGTGAAAAAAACAGTGAAAATGCTAGAAAATAATGAAAAAAACTGAAAAAAATCAAAATCTCATGGCAATACCTTGCAATTGACCCACTGAATGGTTTAAACCTCATTGTGGATTGAATTTATGGATAGAAATCTCATTTTTCAACATATTTTGACCCAAAAAAAATCGAAAAAAAAAAACTTTCAAAATTTCATGGCAATACCTTGAGCATGACCCACTGAATGGTTTAAACCTCATTGTGGATTGAATTTATGGATAGAAATCTCATTTTTCAACATATTTTGACCCAAAAAAAATCGAGGAAAAAAAACTTTCAAAATTTCATGGCAATACCTTCAAAATGAACCACTGAATGTTTTAAACCTCATTGTGGATTGAATTTATGGATAGAAATCTCATTTTTCAACATATTTTGACCAAAAAAAAATCGAAAAAAAAAAACTTTCAAAATTTCATGGCAATACCTTCAAAATGAACCACTGAATGTTTTAAACCTCATTGTGGATATAATTTATTGAAAGAAGTCTGCTTTTTAAAAAGTATTGAAATTTATAAAAGTGACATTTCTCATTTTGCATCACTTTCCCGTTGTGGTTCTCCCGTTGTGTTTCCCCATTTCCTGCTCCTTATTGTGCCGCCGAAAGCTCAGCTGTTATTCTTCCGTTGTGTCTCCCCGTTGTAACACCCCGTTGGACCATTCAAACGCCAGCGAGCCGAGGCCGCGCCCAGCTGAAGGACATTTTTTTCCTGGGGTTTGACGTACATAAAACATTACTTTCCTGTGGCCGGACGTTTGCAAAATAATCTTGAAATATTTTTGACATATTTTGAACCAAAATTGTTTTCCTGGGTTCGAAGGGACGCAGGGTTTTGTATGTGCAAATCGGATCAAATCGGTGATTTCAACATTATTTTTGGGTACTGGACTCCCAGGAAAATAATCTGCATCACCAGATGGTGGTGTTGATTTATGTTAATTTTCCCAGCTATAAAATGCAGATTTTCCATAGCTATGTTAGTTTACCAGCAGTGATGATGGAAATTGATCACCATGAATCTTCTGATTCGGCAAAAAAACCTGGACGAATAAAACTGAATTGGTGAGTTGCTAGGATATACTCCGCCTTACTCCGCCCAACGGCGCGCCTGGCCCAGTCACGGGTGTCTGCATTGGTGCACACTGAAACGGACAAGAAGCTGTAGATCTTAGCCATTCAATGCAAGTCTCCGCCGCAGTCGGTTTTTGCAAGTCAAGTGAGTAGTCTTCAAACATGTTCAGAAGTTGATTCATATGAATATATACATATTAATATATATATATAGTTCCTAATACATCACAAGGTCACAAGGTGGTGTTAGATGGAGGTATTTACCCCCACCGTTATAAATAGGCTCCTTTGAAGGGGACCATTTTTCGATCGCATCTCCAGCGATCCCATCCCCAAAACGTGTCCCAATGCTTTGCTCCACATCCACTTAACTGCCACTGCCGTCGTCACCACGGGCTGGGATCCAAACAACTCTGCTATCTTTGCTCTCAACGAAACTGGCGTGGCAAAGCGGTGGCAAACTAACCGTGTACCCCGGGGGATCCCCGGGGGCTAGTGACAGCTGCCATGTGGACCCAAAAAAAAGGGAACCACCTATGAACCTATTTCCAGCACCATGTTGAAGAGCGCAAGCACACTATGTACGCAAAGAAAAAGACAATTTCATGACCTTCAGCGTTTTCGTCTGTCATCATTTGGGTAGCAATTCCTAGTATTGCGTATATCACAGCTTTTCTACTTTTCGGATCAATGCTCATGATGTTCTACCCACATCTACCCAAATTCCAACAAATTACAAGGATACCTTAGCCACTCTTTGATGAATGCTCCAATTCTAAAGCATTATATCATGTGTCCATTTGTTTGCATGATCTGCATCGATCAGCGCTAGATGTGCGAGGCACAGGGAGCCGGCGGTGTGCCTTCTGTGGTTTGCCCAGAACTTGAGATCGTAGTAAATGAAAACCTTGGCATGGTGTATGGTTCGGTGCGTGATTTGGTCAGGGATCTGAGGATGTCTTGGGGGGGGATACAACTATAAATGAAATACATTCCAACACTAACATTCAAATCAAGTCCATTCTGCGGCGCAGGTATGCCAATTGGAGGTACCTACAATGCAAGGGATCTAAAAATGATCTAATCATTTGGGGGTCCCAAGAAATAGCATAAATCTAATATAATATAAATCTATACGCCTCACGATCCCAAACATCAACAAACTTGCTAAGGGATAATCTCATGTCATGGGGCCCATGGGGTTTTTCGATACCCCATGAATGGGATCAAGTAAACAAATTCTTGGTGGATTGACCATATCCTAACTGGGTGAATCCCATCATACAAACCACCCCCACTGCTTTAGGTTCCAAATGGGTGCCCCCCCAAAAAACAGGTTTTTCCGGGTGCTTTCAACAAAAAATAGGAAGGAAGAGGTCCAGAGTGGGCCTAGATAGCTATAAAAGTTGGTGTCTAACCCCAGTATACTGTGTGACACAACGTTTATAACTTTCGTTAATGGGGGTTATAACCTAATAACCGTTATACTGGGGGTAGGGTTGATGATGGTTGATGTTAGATATTTGATGATATTTGTATAGTTAAGAAATGGATTGGTATTAGATATGTGTATGTGTTAGACTGTTAGATATACTGGTTGGTGGTTTCAACCCCTCTGAAAAATATGAGTTCGTCAGTCGGGATGATGACATTCCCAACTGAATGGAAAGTCATAAAAATAAATGGTTCCAGTCACCACCAACCAGTGATAATTGCCATAGAAATAGTTGATTTACCGATTAAACATGGTGGAACTTTCCATGATTTTCGTGGCTGAATCATGGTTCTATCCAATCCCATAGGATCCATGTATGGTATATATGCTAACATTTGGGGTATATTGATGGTAAATGTCACCATATATAGCATACATGGATCCTATGGGAATGTCATGATAACATCAACCAATAGAAATCCCAGAAAAGCGATACCATCGTGGTACGTCACGGGCCCCCTGGAGGCCCTGGATTTTTAGGATTCCTGACATCTCCTTCGATATCCACATCCAGCGAAAATTCCTCAGCCGACGCCGAAATGGTGGTGTTTATGCTGATTCGTTTGAACAATCTTTGACCTATTTATTTAGAAAACAAAAAGAAAAACACCTTAAGACCTTAAGTAAGGAAATTCGGAATTATAAACCAAGTTGTAAACAGATTTAAAAAAACAAAACATCTTGTATGGCTCCACCTTGTATGGCTCAACGCCTGATTGGCTTCCCAAAATGGATGGTTTATAGACATACTAAACATGTAACATGACCAATGAATTCTGGGTGCATTGGTGCCCTACTTTGAACGGCCATGTTTGTCCTCTTCGCTGAAATTGAAATGGGAGTTCAGACAACAAATCATGGTCTCTGGTCCTCTGGTCTCTGGTAATCAAACACGGTTGGCTATTAACTCGTTTATTTAGAGGGCGACCATTTGTATCGATGGATGTAAATAGTGGTGTTTCCAGTGCCTACCGGTATCTGAATTTAAGCCTCCTGAAAATACTTCGGCTACTTGCCACGGGCGCGAGTAAGGGAAAAGTAAACAGCATTCAGCAACTATACCAGCCAGCTTCATTTCCATTGTACAGGCACAATGGTTCAAACCCTCTGTCGTTCCATATCGTACTGCTTGGTTGATGGGGATTCTGATAGTCCCAACGGGCGGATTATACACAGGAAAGTACAACCCCCTATCATCAACCGAACAGGGTGGTTAGTCGCTGCTCATGTGGCAATTCCTTTTTGAGGAGCTTGTGGATTTTGGAATATTATGCTGGTTGGTAGGGGATCTCTCGTTGTGTCTTGAAGATCCCCTCACGTCAGCCAGCCCTACCTCTGTCAAGAATGGTTCACGACCACGACCACTTTATATGTATGGGTGTGTACATACGTATGCAATATGCGTATGTGCAAATATATACAGTATGTACATGTACCTGTATATGTATATGTCATTATATGTCTATGTATCCTCTGCTGTGGAAGTGGTGGGGGTGGGGGGTAGGGGGTGGAGGGGGGTAACCCCCCATACCATATGGGGTGGAGGGGGGGCGTGAACACGAGACACGGATGTAAACATATGAATGATATTGAATGATATGAACATCTGAAAATGCTTACAATGTTTAGCAACCAGTTGCCTAAAGAAAAGGTAGGTAGACACATCTGAACACATCTGAACACCTGGAATGTATAAAACTATGAGACTACGAGTTAAACATAAAGTACAACCTCCTAGGTAAATTCAGCATATTCTTTGCAGGGTTCCTGAGCGGGACTCCAATATAATTGACGAGCAAAATATGGATGCTTTTTCAGATCAATCATGGATGGTCTAAACTCAAAACCACAGATTGAAAATGCATGGTTAAATGGCTAAACAACCAAAATCATTTCAAAACATGTGTAAAACATGCTGCTCCTACACCACAAAACATGGATCGTAAAATACCGTGAAATACTGGACATACTTTTGAAGTACAATATAAATACATTACTAGATCCAACAATAACAATCAGTTCCTCAGTGAATTTTCCATGGTGAATCTTAGATACCTGTCAAAAACTCTGCATTTTTTTTTTGCTGGTGACTGTACATGTTTTACCATAGCAATTTAGATTCAAGTAACATTGCCAATCTTAGATACCTTACAAAAATAAACAAATTCTTACCTGGTGAACGTCGATAATCCCATGCCAAAAGACTTAGTAGGATTAGTTTCTACCCATCCAGTTGGTTAACCTAGCAAGTATGAAACACTGCAAATTTCTGCAAATCACGGGATAAAACGACAATAAACCATCCCGCATTTGTCATCACCATTTTTAGATTTTATGATTTTTAGGTGGTATAAACCATTCAACTTGTCTTAAACCATCATTTTCCATCCCTAAACCACCATTTTCCTTTCCTTTCCATCCCTTTCCATTCCCAAAAAGCTGCTTTTTCCCAGTGGTTTTCTCCACTTTCGTCCCCCAAGGTCCCCAAAGCTCAACGTCCGGACCTTCTCGAGAAGGTCTGCGGTGTAAGCGACGGTCACCTTCGCGGGCAAAGCCCAGTGATGTGAACGTTGGCTGAACAAAAAAGCCATGAAAAACTATATGGATGTGGGTCAAAATGGAAGACCGATGTGGGACCACAGATGTGAATGTCTAGTTTAGTAGAAAAACCATCCATAATTTTGGGGTACCTAATTTTGACCCATAGCCATATGTCCGTCAAGCAACCCATAAACCCCAACGTTGTAAACCATGGCCATGGGGTTTCCATAAGGGCTTATTGTTTTCCAGTTTTGTAAGGGCTTAGTTGGAACACAGTGGTGATATTTCCCATAAACCCGAACGTTGAGCAAGTATCCGTCAACTCAGCGAACTATGGGGCACCACCTTGTAGGGATTTCAGAGGAATTTTCTAGTATTGTGCCATAAAAAAACATGGGATTATATAGTGGAATAGCATCAACGATAGGAATTCGATAGTATAAATGATAACTTTACATTAGTTTTAGGTGAATTTCTGGTACGAACATGGTGTGAACATTATTGATGGTGAGATTTGCATTGAAGAATCGGATGTAAAGCTCACACAAAAAATGGATGGCTATATTATAACCCATAGAATGAGTGGATAAAAACATGCATCATTTAAAAGTATATTCTTAGTATTCATTAGATTTTAGCTAGATTAACCATCAACAATAGGATTTATAACAGGGATTAGCTGCTTAGCTGGAGATTCATGATCAACAAAGGGACTACATTCTACACCTGGGGTTATTTTTTGGATTACTGGGTTATGGTCATCCCGAATAGGATTCCCGAATTGATGGCTATATTATTCATAGATGACCATCCGCTGTGATGGCAACGATACTTTGACCATTGCACACAAACATGAACAAATGATTAGTGAACGATAGCTGGTTGGTGTTTTTTCGCCACCCCTCTGAAAAATGATGGAGTGAAAGTCAATTGGGATGATGAAATTCCCAACTGAATGGAACAATGACAAATGTTCCAAACCACCAGCCAGTTATATAATGAACGATAGATATCACGAACAATGAGGATTTGAATGCAGCAAAGAGGAGAATGTAGGCAACCGACATTTTCATGTGGAAACCAACAGCAAATACACAGGATGTCCTACGTGCGCTGGTGCCCCTGTTCCTTGATTTTTACCAGGGTTTGAGGTGATGAGATAACAACAAACATAAATAGAGGAACCACATAGTAGACTTTCACCTCATTTTGTTTGTGTGTAACGAAAGAGAACTTGAGTGTTGGCCAGTTTGAGTCAAAGGGCAAGCGCATCAGTGTACCGGTATGCCCCTATCTGGTTCACAAGAACCCCCAATGGTTTCCGATTGAGGCTGGCTCATCATTATTGGGTTTACCTGTGTAGCTCATTCGGACGGAACATATAAAAGATTTCTAGCCACCCCTCAAAAAAAAACAAGAACCAGATTATTTACCATGGTGGTAGTTTCCATGAATTTTCGTAGAAATTCCACTTCGCTACCTTTGTGCTATCTAGATATTTGGGCGTCTCCTTACATAAACCATGGGATGAGTTCGCTCCCGGGAGCCACGACTCGAGCCCGGCGCTTCGACTCGAGCCCGGTGCCTCTTGGAGAGACCCACTCTTCACCAAGAGAATGCTACACATGATGAAACACAAGACCATAATGGAGGCGGTCAGAACCTCAGCCGGGCCCCAGTTTTTCCAGCCAGGGGTTTTTGCGGGATCCATTTTGTGTTTCCATTTACGGTCGGTTTGACTTGAAGTGAAAAAACATGACACAAAAAAATCAACAGAACATCTTGACATATACCCTCTGGTAAACTAACATAGCTATTGAAAATGGCCATTTATAGTGGATTTTCCCATTAAAAATGGTGATTTTCCATAGCTATGTTAGTTTACCAGAGGGTAATAATTAACAGAACATCTTGACATATATTTGAGATGGATGGAGTTTGGATTTGGATACCCTCTGGTAATTTGTCAAATAGCTATTGAAAATGGCCATAGAAATAGTGGATTTTCCCATGAAAAATGGTGGATCTTTCCATAGTTGTGTAAACGTTTACCAGAGGGTAGGATCGGCAGAGTCTTGTGACACTGAATCACATCGGGCCGCGCGTTGGGACCGTTGGGAGGAAGCCACTGATTGGATGGGACCATAAGCTCCGGAAAACTTGACAGCTCCACAGGGTCCCTGGATGAGTTCATTGGTGTAAAAGATAGTCCCTGGTTAGGTAACTTGGTAATTACCAATGAAATAGCTAAGTCCCTGGTGGTAGATTCTGGTAGATGGGTGATCCACTTTCAGTCCCCCAAGAAGCGAGCTAGGTAAGTTGGTTTATAATTGATATAACTGGGATTTATGGTGATATTTTTTGTTGCCATCGTTCGATGGGGTTGTGAACCAACAAGAATAAATAAGTTTGGTGCGCTCCCAAACGATAGCTAAGTTGTTTCATAACTAGGTTGACCAGGGTTCACGGTACATAATATATAGCTATTTTTTATTACATGATATATATATATATACATACACATACATACATACATTATTACTATTAATTAATATATATATATACACATATAATCATATATTACATTGATATATCTATGGATAAGAGCGGTTATACACCAACGAGTCATCAAGCGTGATGTTTGTTGGTCTAGTTTCACCCCGGCCCCATGAATCCTATATTAATATATACTATATAGTCATATAGTTATAAAACGTTATAAGATGTTATAAAAGGACAACATAAATGTTGTAAGATGTAAAAAAATGTTACTATGGATGTTATTAGGGTATCATAAGCCATAGCTAAAGAGTTCTTTTCGGTTTTCACCATCCCCATATCGGGCCCCCGGGCCATTTGACAGCAGTAGGTGTAGAACCAAAACCTAGGATCGATCATCGGATCCAGGCGCCTTGTTCCCGCTGAAAGATGCTGAAAAAGTAATGGGAATCATCAAACATAGCTGGTTGGATTTTCCATATATATATAAATGGTGATAGTGATTTTCCATTAAAAAAATGGTGATTTTCCATAGTTATGTTAGTTATAACTTTATAACCCAATATTATCTGGTTGGTGGTTGAGCCACCCCTCTGAAAAATATGAGTCAATTGGGATGATTATTCCCAATATATTATGGAAAAAATAGGGAAAATAAGAATAACATATGGGAAACATATTGTTAATCTTTCTGTCATATGAGTTCGTCAGTTGGGATGATGACATTCCCAATATATGGAAAGTCATAAAATTCATGTTCCAAACCACCAACCAGACATTGACATCGTGTTGACGTATGATATAACATGATACCAGTAGTACCGCACAAGGCGGTGGCGGAAGTTTCAAAAATAGGAAACCTATAGGAGACGTTGGTTGTTGTGAATCACGGGTGGCAGAGCGAATCCACTGATTGACCGAAAGGTGGTTGGAGTTGTGTTTGCTGGAGTGGTTGCAATGGTTGCAGTGGTAACCTCACCCACAACTGCTGGATGTAGTGTGATGTACTGCAACTGTAGTTGTAGCGTAGTGGAGTTGTAGTTGTGGTGTAATGTAATTAGTGTAGTGTAGTTGCAGTCATATAGTTGTAGCTGTAGTTGTTATGTAGTTGTAGTTGTTGTAGTTGTTGTAGTTGTTGTAGTTGTTGTAGTTGTTGTTGTTGTTGTAGCTGTAGTTGTTGTAGTTGTAGTTCTAGTTGTAGTTGTTGTGTAGTTGTAGTTGTAGTTGTAGTTGTAGTTGTAGTTGTTGTTGTTGTTGTTGCTGTTGATGTTGTTGTTGTTGTTGTTGTAGTTGTTGTAGTTGTAGCTGTAGTTGTTTTAGTTGTAGTCCTAGTTGTAGTTGTAGTTGTTGTGTAGCTGTAGCTGTAGTTGTAGTTGTAGTTGTAGTTGTTGTAGTTGGAGTTGTTGTGGTTGGTGTTGTTGCTGTTGTTGTTGTTGTTGTTGCTGTTGTCGTCGAAGTTAGGGTAGTTAAGTTAGTGAATGAAGTTAGTTAAGTTAGTCAAGTTAGTTAAGTTAATCAGTGTCTACTTTTTCGACATCTTAACGTCGAAAAAGGCTCAAAACCCTCACAACGGCGTGCAAATTTTTGCGACACTTTTTCGACATCTGAAACCTCCAAAAGTGGTCCGAGATGGTGTGTTTTGTACATTTTGACTTGGAAATGTGCTTCGCGCCACAACGGCGTGCACTTTTTCGACATCTGAACCTCCAAAAGTGGTCCGTACATGGTGTGTTTTGTACATTTTGACTTGGAAATGTGCTTCGCGCCACAACGGCGTGCACTTTTTCGACATCGCAACTTCCAAAAGTGGTCCGACGCTGAGGTGTTTTGTAAATTTTGACTTGGAAATGTGCTTCGCGCCACAACCGCGTGCACTTTTTCGACATCTCAACTTCCAAAAGTGGTCCGAACCCCTGGTGTTTTGCACATTTTGACTTCGAAATGTGCTTCGCGCCACAACGGCGTGCAATTTTTCATCGCTCCTGTGGCCAGCTGGCTCCGCACCCGCCGCTTTAGCGAGCCTACTTTTCGACCCTCCGGAGCCACAAATCACTGGAAAAACACAGTGTTTCGCGAGTTTCCTACCTTTTCGCGCATCTGCATCTTCTGTCTTCTTACTCTTTCTCTTCTACTCTTCTCTCTTCTAATCTTCCTCTTCTCTATGCCTCTTCCCTGCTCTGCTTTTCATCTCTCCATATTGTCGGAAGTTTGACTTCTAAACTTCCTTCGATAACACTGAAAACAACAGCGAGTTGCTTATTTTATTGGTGAAAAAAAACATCCCAAATCCATCGCAATTGCAGGGTCAATGTTTGCTTTGAGAAAATCCCATGGCACTAGCCAGCTTGGAGTAAATGGCATATAGATCTACATTACCACCTCCGACAAAGGAACTACAATGTGGGGCCCCTGTTTACGAAATCGCGACAAGTTGGGGTTCACATAACTCCAATTTCACGACACGGTTTTTCATGATACTTTTCCTTAACCTGTAAATGTCTTTTTTGTATTCATGGTTGGTGAAACTAAACCAACAGTCACATCACGCCATCAATAGTGCCCCACATGGTAGATCCTGCCCAACAGGTTGCATCGTTTGAAAACACCCTGAATTGAACCAATGGAACTCTAAAATTTAGCATTTCCAATAGCAAAGTCATCCTTCCAAGCCCCTTGTGGGTCAATTTTTTTGAGGTTCCATGTTGAATTTAGATGAATTTAGGTGTACTAACAGATTAACAGAATCCAACAGAATGATCAGTCTGTTCCGTCCTTGCCCTGCCAACTCTGGGACCCAACGGAAGAAGCATCGTCGCGTCGGGCTGCTGAGAGTGTCTATACACACATCTCTTGAAGCCTCAGCTCATTCAGCTGAAAATTCGTACCATGCGACTGAAGGAGAACCATTACAGTACTGGAACCATGTGACCATAATGTAAACATTATGACATATTATGGTCATATTTAATATGGTAACCATGAATCCATATGACCATATGAATCCATGACTGACCATTTCATTAATAACCATTATTTTCATACTCTTTTTCAAAGCACACTGTAAAATCAGACCATTCTGGGGATGACTCCATCCATCCTCAACCAGATAAACTTGGCTGGCTATGGTGCGGTAAAGGGTCAGGCTTCGGTCTAAAAATACTCACACAATTGGCCATGGCGGGCTTAGTGAACTAACTGGTTGTTAACCTATGGGATTATTTAAAAAAAAACATTCTATCAATGCCCATAGGATCCATATATGCTATATATGGTAACATTTACCATCAATATACCCCAAATGGTAGCATATATACCATACATGGATCCTATGGGATGGGGTAACTTCTTAGTACTTCTAACTGGTATAACTTGGGCCATAACTATGGATGATAACCAAAAGTGTACATCGCTATCAATGAAATCGCACATCAAATCCATGCAGAAAATCCGAAAAAATCGTGTTCTTGCAAGAGCTAGATGTGACTTAACTCTGCCGGCGATGGTGGGAGGACCTTAAGGTGCTGCTGGGCATGGGCCCAACTGCTTGAAACATTTTGAAAGGAATGTAGCCCCCGAAAAGACAGAAAAGTAATTCATGACTGCAGGACATTTCAGGAGCGTTTTTGTAAGATTCTATATATTTTAGTTTATCCTTTGTGGGGGTGCTATAATTGAATAACTAAGAAAATAATTAGTTTGCTAAATAGGCACGTAGAAATGTAGTTAAATCGATAAACGTACACCAGATATACAGTAAAAAACACAAATACATAAGCAGCATCATACTGACTCTGGTGATCGCAGTGTTGACACAATACCCCGAAGTGGCAACATGCAGTAAACAATTCGACTGACACCAAACATCTTGAGTGCCACAATCCCAAACTTTAGGATCTTTTGGGATATCATTACAGTTATGGCCCTTTACCAGTTATAAGTACTAAGAAAACCCCATTTATAGAAGGTATAATCCCATTTATAACCAGTTATAACTAATAAATGGCTATAACTGCACCAATTGGTGTTGGGTGATTTAGGCTATATCTTCCTTTCTTGGTGCTGAAGCTAATTGCCCCATCTGGACTACCAACATTAAACCAAACAAAAAGAGACAACATAGTTGTAGAGAAAATTTCCCTACCAGATGCTGCCCCACTCTGTTAGCCGTTAACTAAGTTGGCATACACAAGTATGCTGACTGTTTGGTTTATGGTCATAATAAATCTAGCTAGATGCGGTTGTAACGAACTTATAACTAGGTAACTAGGTGGCACAACCTTGAAAGTGATGTCCATCTACTACTTGGTTGATACATTTCCCTACTACAGGATGGGGCCCCCCAGTTATAAGTTGGTTTACAACTCCATCTAAATATAGTTGTACATCATACACTATTTATATTGTAGTTATAAACCAACTTAGCTAACTATGGGGCCCCATCCTGTATGGGGTTATATATATATAATCATCCCCAATCATCCACATAGTACATTATATATATACAATACCCTGGAATCACCACTCAACCAAGGTATGCTTTATGGCTCATCTGGTGCGGACAAACCGGGTCTTCTTTCTGGCGCCTTACCAAAGGCCATGGAACAGTACTTTGACCGTGCTTGCTCGGAACCAAACATACTCACCCTGGCCGCGAGTGGCACGTATCGAAGCCCAACACGCTACAATGTCGACAACATACAACATGCAACTGAAACTCTCACCGTCAAACAAAAGGTATTCAGAACACCAATGATCATGACAATATGGTGACTAAACCATATGGAAAGTGAACATTGGGGTCGTATCATGTGCACAAAGTGATTGTCCTTCTGATTTTTTTTGGGCTGTAAGCCACCTTGAAGGAATGTTGGGTCACATGTAAACCTGCACCTATAGGTTGAGTGGATGTTGGGGTGACTCTCTTGTCATCGGCAAGCAAACACACGCGGGATATGGAAGGCCAAAGTTTCGATTCACTAACGAAAACATAAGTCGTGTTTTTGTCTCCATGTTTTTTTGTTTTCATGTTATTTACCCTCTGGTAATTTAACATTCCCACTCAGTCTTCGACAAAGTTTAACTGGGGCTTTCACAACGACAAAGTTTAACTTGGTCTTTGGAAGCGACATGTGTTTACTGGGCATTATCAGACCCAATGAGTACTAGTATAAATATATACCGGACTCCAGAGTTTCAAACAAATCCCACTCCAAACCCAGAGCGTGAAAAAGTGCGTGAAACGACCGTGAAAAACCCGTGAAAAGACAGTGAAAAACCGGTGAAAACCAATCAAAAACTTGAGCATGGAAACCACATATTTTTATTCAGAACTTTGAGGATTGATTTACGGATTCGATTAGGCTCAGGGGAAAGGTCACCCTTTTTTGACCTTTAGTATGGCCAAATGGTATATATATATATATATCAGCAGTCAATGAGTGTCTTTAGTAAAGTCATGGCTTTACTTGGACGACAACGTTTAACTTTGTTCTTGGAAGTAGTGGGATTGCTATGGAAAATGACCATTTATAGTGGATTTACCCATTGAAAATGGTGATTTTCCATAGTTATGTTGGTTTACCATAGGGTAATTTTCCAATGTACTGAAGCCACAAGAATCTCAAACTGTGATAACTCACCCAGATCGTACTCTGCCCCTGATTTTTGTTAACCCGTTACATGTCAAGTTCCCGGTGATTCATTAAAAATGTGTAACCCTAATACTTTCCCTCAATCGAACTAGTGAACTAAACGAAAACCTGAGGGTAGAATGTATTGGATCTATTCATGTTTAGGGACCATTCCAGGAGGGTACTTAATACTATTTTGGTTGTGTATGTATATATATATGTATTTATATATATTATATCCATTTCAGGATGGTTCAACCATTATCAAAGCCGATGAACTTCATGGATCATTGATGGTTAGACCACAATTATTCATGGTTAAACCCATATTCTGAATGCTTCAACCGCCATTTTCGACGGTGAAATTTGATGACAGGATGGTGCCCCCCCCGTTGTGATGTGAACGTTGGTGAACATAGCCCCATCTAAATATAGTTATAAGATGTTATAAGTATCATAAACCAACTTGACCAACTTGTGAAAAATATGAGTTCGTCAGATTGGGATTATTATTCCCAACTATATTGGGGAACATAAAATTCATGTTCCAAACCACCAACCAGCAAATCACACTCACCTACCGAATCCAGAAAAACAAAAAACTACCAACATATCAACATATCAACATATATCAACATATATCAACATATATCAACATATATCAACATATATCAGCATATATCAACATATATCAACATATATCAACATACCAACATATCAACATACCAACATATCAACATATCTACATATCAACATATCACCATATCAACATACCAACATATCAACATACCCAAAAACAACCAGTATAGTTATTTGCACCAACTTAGCGATTCCGAGTGGCCCCAAATTTTGCACCCTGGATTTCCCACCTGGAGCTCGACCGGCTCGTCATGGATTTTTCATTCAACACAATGACCGGGCCTGGGCGCGAGGTCCTCGGGGTTTACCATGAAAAACTGGTGGTTTAAGTCTGAAAAATGAGGATTTAACAATGACAAATGCTGGTTTCACCATGAGAAAAAGATCTTTTCCCATGAATAAACCCATGAAACCTGGTGGTTTAACATGGTTTAACTATGAATACTGAGGCTTTGACCATGGTCACCATGGACGTTGAAGGATGAACTATGGCTGAATCATTTGGTAAAGCTAATAACACCCCAATTATACAGAAGAAATGGATTGGTACTAAGAATAAACAATTGAGAGTTGCAAAAAAATGGGTTTACCACTTCAATATAATATGTATATATATATATATATACATATATATATATGTATCCCCAATGAAATAAGTTCCCAAATGTCTTCAATATGGTCAACCATTGCGAGTTTAGATTCACTGCTTCCATTCTGTGTCTTTTGCTGAGCTCGATACCCATCAATACAAACAGAAATTCGGGAATGTCGGAATTGATATGCCATTGTTAATATATATATATACACATAATATATATATATAATGTATGTATCTGTTATTACAAGTTTATTGGAGTTCATCACCATGATGTCAAATCAGTTCAATTTCAAACAAAAGGCATGAACAACTTCTTAAAATTTCACCGATATCCACACCAAGAACCAATATGATTTCTATACATACGTCATTATATATATATATATTATACACATGGGCTTGTCAGTACCCCTGAAATCCATTGATTTATCTTGAGTTTCCCTTTTAAATTGTGTAAATTGCTTGTAGAGCCCATTTTCAAGAAGAAAAACACAATATGTCTATTGTGTGCTGACATTTTTATCAGAAAGTGGTGTACAATCCCATGGTTTTCCCATAGAAATGGACGTACAGAGAAGGTACCAACACCTCCACGATATTACACATTTTTTTCAGGTTTTCAATGGCTTTCATGGTGTTTCCATGTACTAACATGTTGGCTTACATTTGGTGCACCATGGTTTCTCATTCTTTGTACTCTTTCTATGTTCTGGAAACACTTCCATGTTCCTAACAATTTATGCTGGATTTATATGTTTGGTACTACTCTCCAGCAAACTCGGATAGCGAACTGGAAAACCACCATGTTGCACAGCTCAATTTATCAATGGTGCAGAATATGTCCAAAGCTATTTGGAGGTTTCCTGAAATGGGGGTACCCCCCAGTCATCATCCATTTTTTTCAAGGATTTTCCATGAAAGAACCGTCCAGCCCCGGACATGCCTTGAGACCTCGTCGGCACCTCAGATTTCGGCCATGGTTCGATGGTGGCATTGAACTCTCCTCACCAGATTAAGTTATTCAATAGCAACTAGTTGGTTATAGTAGTAGATTCATATTAGATCATTCATGTTAAAATTTATAAGCCCGGAATCCCTCTAGGATGCTGAATTCAGGACATAAGTTTTTTACGGTTTTATTTAACAGTTAAATACTTCGAGAATTAGGAACTTCAACTGTTATCAAAGAAAATGTCTTGTAGTTTACTAAATATCCTCCGGTGCCAACATGGCAAGCTGGAATGGTTTAAGGATTGTCCGGGCAGACCGGGAAGACCACTTCCTTTCGCTCGCTTGGTGAGGCTTGCCATATTGGGACCATAAGCCAACCTAGTGACACGGCAACCCCATCTAATCAACCAAAGATCATTTATCAATATTAATGACGCATATCCATATTCTGAATTCTTATATATATATATATATCTTATTATATCTCTTGGATATCATGGTGAAAATGACCAACCAACCAAATTATTTGGTTAAAGAAATTCCACAACTTATAACAATCGATCATCCCTTGCAGCTGCTGCCACAGCGAGCGGAGAAAATTGGTCACTACTTACACTACTTCCCCTGAGCGATGAAATACCCTATAGGGCCCTGTCCCATGACACGTTTCTGATGCAGAAGAGAACGACGATAAATTCGGGTACTGCAAATAGGTACCCTGTCGATGGGCTCTTAGCTCGATTTCACAACAGACCATCATTGATCAACTCCACATATCGATTGCTAAAGTCCCTATCAGTCATGTGTAAATCACCATTTAACTTACCCATAGGATCCATGTATGCTATATATGGTAACATTTACCATCAATATACCCCAAATGTTAGCATATATGCCATACATGGATCCTATGGGTTATATGTGGTGGTTTCAAATGCGGGATTTTCAAAACCATGGGTTTCAATACTAAATTGGTCTAATTTTGAATGGTTGGGGGGCCACATGGTACATCCACCTGTCGCCTGCTTGGAGGTTCCTTAAAATTTTGAATGCATCATAAATTGGGATGTAGCTAGGAAAAATGAGGATCTAATTAAGGAACCCCCCCATTGTTCTTTGCCAGTTCTTCGCCTAACAAATCCCCATCAACAGGTTTTCTTTATCCTTCTGTTACTGGTGCATCCGCCATACCATCCGACCACTGAGTTTGCGGACGGGATAATCTTTGGGTTGTTCCTTAGGGACTCTCTGTGCTGGATGCGCTTGGGAAATGGGGTCGTCCATCTTGACGAAAAGTTGCGTTGGTGATTATATATATATATATATGGATAAATCATAATAATTGACTAACCTGAGAAATCTGGCTATTTTGGAAACAATGCCTTGCTAACCATGATTACAGTGAGGTTGCAGTGAGGTTGTTATTTTTTTCTCCATAGATAGGTAGATAGATACAGATACAATATATATATATATACACATGACATATCAGTATTACTATGCATGTTCATGCAGGTTCTTCCTCTCCGGTGTATTCCAAGTGAATCCACGTCATTCCAAGTGATTCCATTGCTTCCAATGAATAAATCTACATGTACCCCAAACAGGGAACAAGTTGTTCCCGTAAACGAAGAGTTTGTGGAAAACCCATCATTTGGGGATCTATATAATTTTCCTTAAAGAAGAGTATGTCTGTTCCACATGGGGGCTCCCTGAAATGGGGGTACCTCTAAATCATCCATTTTAATGGGGTTGTCCACTATAAACCATCTATTTTGGGGTACCCCCCTATGTTATGGAAACTCCATGAAACTCCCACATCGAAGTGTTAGTTTACCCGGTAACAAGGATGGGCTGGGCAGGTCATTCTACAGCATGTCGTTTTGGACGCTGCCGTGACGGGCACCACCATGACAGAACGTCTGGTCAAACATCATCGACCAACACATCATCGACCAACACATCATTCAACTCATTCATCTCATCCATAAAACACAACATCTTCACTAAACACAAAACACAGAACCGTCAACAAACAAATATTTCTCTATCCATCTGGGTAAATTATAGGGACATTTACTCACCTGAAAGTTACGGGTTACGGTCGTTCGCGCACGCCGCTGAGCTGTCCCTGCTGGCTGCTGAAAGGCAGAACCTTCGTCCATCTCATGGCAGATCCTTCTCCCAATGCACTCTTCCTGGCGGCTGAAAAAAAATGGGATCCTTTTGTTCAATGTTTAAGTGGGTTGTAAAAGTTGTAACCCCAATAACGGAAATAAAGTAGGTTTAATCCACCTACTTTGTAGGGTTAATCCAGCCACTTACTAAGTGGGATTAGCCACCAGGAAAATCTTCACCGGAAACCCATGTTTTTTTTTACCAAACAACAGCTGGTTTCTACCGCAAATTGTCCCATCCAATTCTGTGAGTTGGGAGATGGGGGACCCCTGGGGACCCCATGGTTTCGCCGACTTGTAGAATCAACAATGGGGATAAGCCGGATAAGTATTTGCTGATTTGGCGAGTCAATTGTCAATAGGGTCATTTAAAGGGAAACACACACACACATAGGAACATCCTGAAGTCCGGGACAAAGCAGACCCGGACCGGGACATGGTACTATTGATGAGATGCTATTTAACATGCCACCGCAGAACATGAATGAATATTGATAAATATGGACTCGGACTGTTGACTTGTTATTCATTTAACATTATGACTGTATCACCCTTGATGAATAGTTAACTATGAATAAAATGCTTATGATGACAAAAACCAACGTCATATCCATCTCTTATAATTCCTGAATATCTGTATATATATAATACACAGTATCCAGTAGTATAGCATATGTATATATATATATATAGATAGCAGGTACAAGTTGATGTATCTATCAGGAGTGACCTCCAAGTGATTACCCAGTTGATCTTCTGCCATCTTAAAACTACTGAAATAGGGATGCTGTCTAAATCTGAGGAATTTTGAGATGATGTTTCTTTCTTTAGGAAGATCAGAAAACTGTTTGGTAGGATTCATGGTCGCAAGATTGACACAAGCCAATAGAAAGCTGCCAAATAGAAGTGAGACTTCTAAAAATGGTCAGGAATCGAGGATCCAGTTGAAAGAAGTGAGCCCCCAAGAATAGTTGAAGAAACTCAAAATTCTCAATTTCAAAAAAACTGAATTGAAAACATAAGCCATAAGCCATAAGCCATAAGCCATAAGCCATAAGCCATAAGCCATAAGCCATTTATAAATGACTTAGCAACAATGAAAGCCCCAAGGATCGCACCTGGTCCGCTGTGTCACCTCACTGCGAGATCAACATTTTTCAGGGTCCCATTGAGGTGGAAAAAAGATGTGTTTCTTTCAACCAAGATCCAGTTATAGCCATGGCTATTAGTGAACTAACTGGTTATTAACCTATGGGATAAAATACATGACCTATAAATGGGGTCTTCTATCCGTACTTATAACTGGTATTTCGGGCCATAACTGTATCCAGTTCAGGTGATCATCAATCAGGTTTTGGGCAACCAGTACTGGTTGGTGCTTGAGCCACCCCTCTGAAAAATATGAGTTCGTCAGTTGGGATGATGACATTCCCAATATATGGAAAGTCATAAAATTCATGTTCCAAACCACCAAAAAAATGGTATTGCTTGATATATCTTGTTATACTGGTCAGATAGGTATTTCACATCAACCAGGCATTGGTATTGTATATATCAAGCATGAAAGTGATGTGAAATATCAATCAATACCTACAGCCGGTTTTGGGGGGGCCATCCATCTTCCTATGGCCCCGGCATGGCTCACAGGAGAAGCCAGCCGGGCAATTCTGGATACTCTTGGTGAACATGGAACATGGCGAAACAAACCAACTTGGCCGTTGATAGCTGATTTACCTATAAAATAAATTAAAATCAGCCAAGTTGGTAAATCACCTTGGATATTAACGGCCATAGATTTACAAATAGCCATTTACCCATGGCTCATGGTAGACTTTGCCATGTGAGGGTAAATTCACTGCCCAACTGCCCCAAAACGCTCCCTGTGATTTGCTCCATCTCAATCTTTGGCGCCATGGCGCCACTGGTGGACACCATTCTTCGGCGACTTTGGATGCAAATAATTTCCCAAATGCGACGCCAGCAAATCAGCTTCATTTATATCATTTATATCTCGAAGCCCAGGTTATCTTGCACGTCTTAGATTTATATGCATCTGTATACATTATGATAGATTACAATAATTCACCAGCATGAGATCTTAGGCACTGATACCACCAACCATTTGTAGCGAGGTCGCAGTGAGGTTGTTTTAATTGATCCAAAGATGTGGAATCTCTGGTAACAAATTACTGATACCATCTGGTTATTTAACATAGCCATGGAAAATCCCCAAAATAAATGGAGGTTTCAAGCTGGGAAAATCATCTATAAATGGGCCATTTTCCATGGCTATGTTAATCATAACCAGAGGGTAATAAGAATCCATGATCTTCTCCTGGCGCCTCAAATCCACATTCTGAGAGGGAGAACTTTCAAGGTACACTCCGCATGGCATTTGGGCAGCTTTTGTATGCTTCGGTCCTCCCATTCTGAGGAGGAAGACTTGCATGCCTCCAACCCAGTAGGGGACTCTTCCAAAAAGACGCAATTATCCCATCTGCTCCATGGTATGCTAGAATAATTGCATCTAATTACCCGCGGTTCTCAAAATTGGATACCAAATCTCACATACCCCTTTTCAGACAAGCCCAAATTCAAATATCATTGTGGTCGTGAAATGTTGTTTTTTAGATCCTATAATAATATTCAAACTATATCTCCATATTGGTTGTTGGTTAATATTGTTATATATGGTTATATCATATCATGCTATATATATAATTCTATATATCATGTTATATCATATGCCAATTCTTGTTGTTTTTCTATGTTTTTCTTCCCCATGATGGTTTCAACATGTTTAAACCACCCATTTCCCTAAGCAACATGGCGGCTGCCGGTGCTGGTCTCGTCACCAGGGATCTGCACCTGGAACCTGCAGCAGTCGTTTCAATGGATTGGATTGGTTTATATAAGGTAAACAAAAACAAAAAAAAACGATCAGGAAACACTCATTTTTATGGAACAAATAGGTTTCCTTCATACTTTCCCTTCAGCCAATCCATTGATTGTTACAGTTATGGCGCCAGTTTGGGAGCTATGGGATGATTTATACCTCCAACTACGGTGAAAAACATATCCATGAGGTCACAAGCCAGTTGTAACTGTGGCTACAGCATAGATTTAAACCATAACTAGTGGTAACTATGAATCTCCTTTAATTCATGGAATAGTAGTGGGATCTATCAACCGGTGCAGGATGGATCATCCACAGTATGTTGTATAAGTTCTGTACATAATTGGTAAGAAAAAGGTAGAACTTCTGGTTTCATAATCTGTGACATATTTGTTGCTGAATGTTTAGTAATTAAAGCGATACTTAGTAAAACATTCCCTACCATAAATGGGTGGTATAAACCATCAAAATATGGTTGGTTTGTTGTTGTTTTACTAACATTACTTAATATTAATATCTCTGGGTAAATTACAATATTTCACGAACCTGAAATAACGCTATATATGGTGCGCAATTTCCCTTATGAACCATCATTCCAGTGAGGTCGCAGTGAGGTCGCTATAATTTAACCATATCATCTACTAGATACATTGCCATATTGTTATATCGCCATAAATGGGTGCTACACACCATGCCCAAATAGTAGCTGGTAGCTTTCCGAATCTATATGCTTTCCGAATCGAGAAGTCGAGATCTCCATTCCAAGTCCCCCGGCCTTCATGCGCATGTTTGGAAGAAGTTTGGGCATAGCCTCCCCCGCCGCCCAGATCCCAGATGGATTCCCTCCACTGGCCATGGGATGAGCCATCACTCCTGCTGTTTTTTGGCCCATGGCCATGGCTATTAGTTGTAACTGCTTATAAATGGGATTATACATGACCTATAAATGGGGGTTTTCTTAGTACTTATAACTGGTATTTTGGGCCATAACTCCATAACTGTGCAACTAAGGTGAAAAAACAATCTGAAGAGGTGAAAAGGGCTACAGATCTACAACATTCTACAACTGCTCAGGGCTACAAGTGGTGAAATTCGTAAACAACCTCAAGGTAAAATTACCCTGCACATTGACAAGGTAAAAACTCTTCAGGGCTACAACTCTGAGGTTCGTAAATGATGCGGAAAAAGAACCCCCGTCGATTGCGTTTTTTTTTTTTCACTTTCAATCGTCAAAAAATATGTTCCAAGAAAAAAACATGTTAATGCTGTGTGTTTGTAGAAGAATACACAAGAAATAAATCACTTTAAATCGGTAGCATGTGTTTAACGGTTCAACAACTATGCAAAATTGATACTTGATCAACTTAATCAAGGGGGCCTTGTCCAATCCCCCAAAAACGCACACTGCAGCTCACTGCTTGGTGGTTAGAAATCCTCCCTGAACAAGTATTACTCTTCATGAGGGGATCATCATCCCCCGTTACAATGGAACATATGTTTGAGACCTCTTCAAACCAACCAGTTACCAATCAGTTTGTGACCTGTTCGTTCAATACACCGTCCAACTAAACCCGTAAAGTTGCGATCCTATGACCTCTTCAAAGTGCGCTAGATCATTTTCCAAAAACAGGTTAGGTGTGTATTTTTTTTTTAATTGGGGTCCCCCAAAATCATCAATAGATGGATTTTCCATTATAAACCATCCATTTGGGGTACCTCCATTTATGGAACGACATGGAACGACCCATGGTAAAATCATTGGTTCCCACCTAAAAAGAAAAAAAACAATTTGGGATGATGTGGGTGCCCTCCATTTTAAACAACCCCTCCATGTCAGTGGCGTCGCACCATGTCGCACCCCTCGGCGCCTGCCCTTTCCATTGCGGCGCTGCCATTGGCATCGTCGATCGTGTGTTGGATTCAGTTCTGAGCTCCTTATCATGGAGGGTTAAGCAACAAAAATGGGGATTGACAGTTGATGTTCGTTAAGTTAAGTTGCTTTCTAACTCGGATAACTAAGGTCCCTAGTGATGAAATAACGTGAAACTACATGAAATAACATTAAATAACATTAAATAACTATAGTTCGGGGCTATGAAACAAGTTAGAACTAGTGGGCACCACTTTTTTATGGGTCGAAAGTTGGTACATGGGGTATGGTCATCCATCCCAGTATGGGAATCCCTAATAAACTGATTGATGATTCCATAATCCTTATAATGAGTACATCAATCTCTCATGTACTCCTTAGTGGTCACCAGTGGACATGACGACCATCCCCTGAAGTGGACAATGGTGATCTGCTTGATGGTGGAGCCACCTATTCCACTATGATTGTCAATTGGTCTCTATCTCTCTCTCTCTCTATCCATCAATACATATATATATATATACATACACACAAATGTACTAGTACATACATATACATCTATATATATAGTATACATACATATAATACAACAAGCATATATATATATACATATATATATATATATACATACATAATATAGTAATACGGATGGTAAACATAATACTGCAATAGTAAAAATAACAATAATAATACATATATTAATATCTATATATATAATAATAACAATAACAATAATACTAATACTAATACTACTACTAATAATAATATTAATAATAATAATTATTATTATATATATATATTACAATACATCTTTAGAGTGTATATATATATATTGTTTATATGACATATATGTAACATAAATGTACATATATATATATATATATGTATATACATAATATTATATATATATTGTGTATACATATGTTCTAACTTAGCCAGTGTAAAAGCAATTTATGATCATCCTAGAATAGATATAATCCTCCACTTTCCGGTCCACGTTCCAGTCCAATACAACTGTGGCCCTAAACAGATATAAATGAATGGGATACTATCTCCTGCAACATGAGGTTTTCTAAAGCCAGTTATAAGTGTTAAGGGCTACAACATGCATATTATGCAGTTTTCATTTTTTTACAACTATCTCCTCCAGGATGCATGTGGAACCCCCCAAGCCAGATCAGCTCTTCCAAGTGACCCGTGGAGCAATTGGCCGTGGCACCTGCTGTCACTTTAGCCAATGGCGGGGGTTTGGGATCCAAGATCCATGATCCACCACAACCATTGCAGATTCTTAGCATTTCCATTGCCATACCCTGCAAAAAATGACAAATTCTTTGCTAGGATTAAAGTACCCATCTAAGATTGACCTAGTTTCTTAGGTCAAGTTTTTTGGGGTGAACAAAAAAACTTACAGCGCCCGGCCTGGACTGTCTTACGACCAGGTGGCAGGATGATCATTCGCTTTTCCTGACCCGCTTCCCCCAGAGAATTGGGGGGAATCCTGGAATGAGACGAAATACATATTTTTCTCTATGACAAACCCACTCCGTGAAACCTGGTTCCTAGTCAGTCCAAGGGTATCTGTTTATTTACTTCTTTTTGGGGTTCCAGTGTTCTTGTTCTTTTTGAAGGGATTGTGCACAAAAGATTTCAACACGGAAGCCGCACAGGAGCCTGAATCCATTGAATTTGGAACCTCTGCATCTAAACAGCACCCAGAACATGCAGCGCAGATGGATCAAACCACTTAAAACACTTTGAACCTGGACCTAGATTTCCCAATACGAGTACACAATGGCCTACATCAACATCCGAAAAAAAAAAAACACTTTTATTCAATTCCATTCTATTCACACTCTTCCATTCTATGCAACAGTATATGCAACATGTTTTAGGATTTCGGTTTGCCAAAACCTGCAATTTCCTTCCCCAAAGAAATAGCTACGACACCGTCCTGGTCCCGCGGCAAGACCACGGGCACAGGCACGGAGTTGTTTCCTCTGGCGAGAGCCAACTGGGACAAGCCAGATGGGAAACTCAGAGATGGGAAAAAAAACTCCCATTGTTTCTGAGATGTTCTGAGGAAATGGATCTAACAAATATATATATATATATATCTGGGTAAATTATAATATTTCACCAACCTGAATAGTTCGGCCATTTGGGGATGATTCCCCTTATTAACCATGATTCCCAGTGAGGTCGCAGTGAGGTCGTTATAATTTACCCAGATATATATATATATATATATAAAGAGTGTGTTTTTTTCTCTCCATATTTTGAAGCTCAATGCGTGATCTGAACTGTGTGTTGCCAGAGATTCCACTGTCATGTGCGTCCCCACAAAATGTGGGGTCCACCACATAGATGAAACAACCATGCAGGGTGGGTTGACCAAAGCGGTTGATATCAAGAAAATCTGGTGATGGAGCCACGCATCCTCCAAACGATACAGATCTATCACGGATGGAAAGTCTCAAAGTATGAGCAACAAACATGACAAAAACAACGGATGATGCTGCTAACACAAAAAGGAACAAACACATGCTGTGATGGGTTGACGCCTGTTTGACACACTTAGGACTTGATCTTTATCATTGACGGCGTACTTTCCCAAAGCACGGCCCATCGTCATTCGATGATATGTGCAGCGTTCCAAGCCCGAAATCTCATTCGATGAAGCACTGGCTGGTTAAAAACTTGGATCCTAGTTCATGAATTGCGAGGATTTCAAGTAATATTGGGTCGGAGACAACCCCGGAAAAATTATCCTTCACCATCATGTATCCATTAGATCAATGGGTTTTCTCCATATCTTTGATAGGTAAAATATCTATTTGTTTACAAAAACATACAGTGATGGCCATTTATTAGTTATAACTGGTTATTTCTATGGGATAAAATACATTCTATAAATGGTGTTTTCTTAGTACTTATAACTGGTATAACTTGGGCCATAACTGTAATGATATCCCATTAAAGAAGAAACAGCCAGACCTCCAAGGCCTGAATGATATCACAGCTCATCAACCAGCATGGGTCCTTTATGAAATACTGGTTGATTTTGAAAGGCACCCGGGAATGAAATGGACTATTATATGGTGAATCAGATGATGGTTAATATGTGGTTAATGTACTGTTAATAGTGGTTCATATATGGTTATTATATATGGTTAATGATGGTTCACAATAACCTGGTTGGTGGTTTTTCGCCACCCCTCTGAAAAATGATGGACTTCGTCAGTTGGGATGATGAAATTCCCAATATATGGAAAGTGATAAAATTCCAAACCACCAACCAGATATTAATTGGTACTTCGATGGGCCATGGAATGACAGTTAATTGCTTAGTAACTGGAATATTTCCCTATTTAATGGCTCAAAAAGCGCTGTTACCGCAGTTAACTACTCCACTACTCCCATGGCCGCCCATGGCCCATCTAGGTCAATAATCCCCTCTAAACCAACTATACCAACTATAAACCAACCACTTACGGCGCCCCCAGTACCCCTTCTCCCCCTTCCCTTCCAAAGCGGTTGCCTGTCACATGCAGATTCTGCACTGGCAAGCTCCTTCGCCTCGATGAATTCACCGGAAAAATGAGGAAAATTGTTGGCTACAAGTAGATGTGTAGATGTAGTTACTGTTGAGCTTTGGGAGCCAACTTTTTGATGTGACTGTCTTAGAGATTGTTTAAGTAAGATCTACTATAGAAACACATTGTTGATTGACACAAACCTTATATATGTCTTGTACAGTATGATACACATGAATACGCATGACATAGTAAAAACGCAATCATTATATAGGTAGTAAAATAGCACAGTCGAATTCAATTCTCATGCGCTGAATTTTATCGAGGTCACACATGTCATACATGTGGCAAAATTATCTTATAGAGCTGGATAAAACTAGTAGATGTTCACTTTGTTTGGCATCATGACCATAAACCAAAAGAATGTGTGTCCATCATAGATGTCTAATTCAACAGACATGTAAACATAAATGAAGCATTGCATTGAACGATGAAACAATTTAGCTGCATCATCCTAGTTGGCCAGTATATCAACGAAAAAAATACAAACGTGTAAATCATCAAATTCAAACTCACCAACAACAAGAAACAAGAGGGACCCTGCAGCCAGTTTTTCAAAATGGAGTTTCAAGTGCATTGACTACAACTTGATTCCTAGTTGCCCCTGGGTATCACCTTGTACCAGCTGCCATTGGCTACGGGATGCGGAGTGGGTAAAACTATGTGAATCCCTCATTCCGATGGTAGGTTTGTTTTTTTTTTAATATATATACCACTAAAGTGGGGGGGTGTAAGATTCTTGCAACAAGTAGGCCCTAGGCGCCCATCATTTCATTGTAACAACCTGAAACTTCTGAAACCGTTCCACCTTTTCGAGTTGTTTCAAACTTGGAAATGAGGAGGTCCTCAAAGGGTTCCTATTTCAAGAAAAGTCAATCAAGCGGGGACTTTCCCAATATGCACTTCTTTGACAGGATCTGTTTATGGCCTACAAGGATCTACAAGTGCTGTTTGCAAACATTATTCGAGTTGGTGTAACACACCCCCGATCTATATAAGTTTGATTTTTAACAGCACACACCCTAATAATGTTGTATCCTGATTAGCAGCTGGATTCGCTATTGTGGTTAGAATTCTCCACATGATTCAGCACCCCTGATTAGTTGTCTATGTTGTCTGGGTTTCGTAATGTGGCAAGATTTTTTGGCAAACTTTGTTCTTCTCAAATAAAGAAATGTTTATGTAAAAACACAAACTAGCATTTTTTTCCGTGAAAAAATGCTTGTCTGCCTTTCCTAAAAGACCCAATCCCTTAATAAACCCTTATTAACGAACAGCTTTTTCGCAAATTTCCAAGGCACTGGACCATGAGAGGGGTCCAGTTCACTTTAGTAGGTTTGTTCCCCGGGTTCACAATTGCAGCAAACTTGTTCTGAGGTGATCCTATAGGTTATCTTTCTCTTTCCTCTTCCTCTTTGTCTTTCTCTTCCTCTTTGTCTTTCTCTTCCTCTTCCTCTCTCTCTCTCTCTTTCTCTGTCTCTCTTGTTATTTCACTTTTAGTTCCTCCCTCTCTCTCTCTCTTGTTATGTCCCTTTTACTTCCTCTCTTTCGCTCTCTCTTTCTCTTTCTCTATTGTTATTTCTCTTTTCTTCCTCTTTATCTTCTCTTTCTCTTTCACATTTTCCTTCTCTCTCTCTCTCTCTCTCTTTCTTTTTTCTTTCTCTTTCTCTTATTACACCTTTAATAAAAAATGAGGTGCAAAAGGTAACGCAATCAACATGCTGAACCCCACTCACTACAAGTACTACAATAGACGTACAAATTCTACAAGTAGAAATGCTACAAGTACAAATAGTACAGGTACACATATCATAAGCTACATCAGCAAAACAAAGTTTTTAATTGTATGCCAATTCTCGCAAATTAAAATCATCATTTAAAAAAAATGTAGGAATGTATCGTATCCTATCTGGGGAACAAATTTTGAAAAATAAACTTTAAACAGAGTATATGATCTGTTTGGGGGGGGGTGAGACACACACACACAAATCAGGATAGAACATTCGTGCGAATGAACTAAACCAACTTAGCGAAATTCAACTAGCAATCCCCATACTTGTTGGTCAAATCTCCGATAATAAGGGATTTGTTCACGACAAATTCTGGTTGGTGGTTGACCTACCCCTCTGAAAAATATGAGTTCGTCAGTTGGGATGATGAAATTCCCAATATATTTGGAAACATAAAAAATGTTTCAAACCACCAACCAGAATTGGTACAAATCGACCATTGCAGGCTTGAAACCATGCAGGTGCTTGGTGTGCTGGCGGCTGGCCGTTGGCAGACCTGCAGCAAGAAAAAATCTTCCAAATGCAAATGTTGTTGCACTCAGAAGATTCCACAGGAAATTCCTTGAACAACTTGAACACATTCATTTTACATGATGATTTTGCGTTTGGTTACCTATCTGACAGGTAACGGGAAGATGAGGGATTTATTGCAACCCCCAAAAAAGATAGAAAAAAATGAAACCTGAAAATGATGGGAGAAACACCACCTATACCATGCTGGAAATATGTTCCTACATTCTTGTGGGTGACCACAAAACAAATTCGTGTCCTATCAAGTCGCGTGGATTCCAAGTACTACGTCTTTTTGTATTGCACATGACGTTGCAATTCCACTCAACATCAACTGCAACATGTGTTCATCGTCAAAAGTACAAACAGTTTCCTTAATTTCTGGTAAACGTTTACATAACTATGGAAAGATCCACCATGTCTAATGGGAAATTCCACTATAAATGATCATTTTCAGTAGCAAACTGTTAGTTTACCAGAGGGTACTTTCAACCCAATCTCTGAGTCGCGGACCAAACAGTCACATACCTCTGTGGGGTCTCCTTCCTTTGCGGCGTGTCCTGACGGACGCACCATTGCATGGCGGTACAAGGTGGCGCCCCCCAACGTTCAAAGTTCGTTTAGTTCCACAGCTATAGCTGGTTGGTGGTTGCTTCTAACCCCTCTGAAAAAATATGACTTCGTCAGTTGGAATGATGAAATTCCCAATATGATGGGAAAATCATAAAATGCATGTTCCAAACCACCAACCTATCATGAATGGTGGCTGTGTTCTACAGCAACTTAGCAAACTATGGGGCATCACCTTGCACATCAATTTGAGGAAACAGTTGATTTTCAAAAATATCCGTGCTATCAGTGAACTCGATTGCGACCTCGAATTCTCGAATGTATTCAGCCTGAGGCTAGCTCGATGATTCAACTGATTCAACTATCGATGGTGGATCTTTCCCTCTAGCGAACTGTAACAAATTACCAGAGGGACAAACGTTGTTCTTTCAAAAACTCAAAAAAAACAAAGTTGCATCTCGATGTCAGGATGGGAGGACAGCCACATCTCGGTCTGCCTTGAAGTGATAGACCAGTTGCGGCTTGGGCGCCGGCCTTGGATGTCAAACCAGCAGCAAGCGACCAACGAAGAAAAAATCGACCCATGAGTTGGGGGTTGGAAAAACTACAGTTATGGCCAGATATTAGTTATAACTGGTTAGTACTTATAACTGGTAAAGGGCCATAACTGTAGAAACATCAGCAATTCCGGCAATGGCCTGAAGGATCTGGTTGAGGGTGTGAACAAAAAAGAGGGGGCAACTGGGCCATACTTGCCTTACATGGCCTGACACAGAGCTTATACCAGCTACTAGTAATTACTGGTAGGTACCTAAAAGAATAGGTACTGTACCTCTTAAAGATGCCCTCGACATTGCTATCCTCCAAGCTTGCACATTGGCACATTGGCAGACTTGGATCTCTTGGATCTGATCAAGATGGCCCAACAATCAAACAAATCCTACGGTAGATTCCCCAGTCATGATAGTCATGATGAATCGAAAGGTTGATTGCAACTCACCAAGACCTCTTCAGCAAATCCTTTCCACATCTGCCATGGCTTTCTCTTATATATAGGCTACTCCCTTAAAAATTTCAGGGTTTATCCGAACATTTCCCACTTTTGGAAATACATTTTTTTCAGAGGATCCCCCGGATCCCTCCCATTTTCCAAGCAGCGGAGTGCATATTGGAGCCCTTGGAAGAGTACGTCCTGACAGCGTATGGAGGTCATGGCTAACCGTGAAAAACCATCTTGAAGGAGGACCGAAAAGTGGTTGAATCCCTGAATTAACATCGGGATTCAGCCTGAATATACTTTATAGACATATATTAATATGTATATATATACAGTATTATACAGTATATATGTCAGATAACTTAACATAAATATAAATACTAATACAAGTAAAGTATCATTTGCTTGTGATAGGAACGATACAGTATTGAGCGAAAAAACAGCACAACTAATGATAAATGCATCACCAGTCTTTGGCGACATCGAGGTCCCCCAAAAACACAAGACATCGAGGCCCAAAAAGATAGACACGTTGTTCCTAGCTATATCACATCGGCAAAATGTCTCCAAAATTTCTTGGATCAACATAGAAATTAATCAAAATTGATGACTGATGGTCACCATCAAATTTCTTGGGATTGATGTTTTGTTTTGTTTTTTTCCTGGGAGATGAGTATATATTACATAGATGATAGTTTATTTCAACATGTTCTATTCTTTGGAGGTGTTTGCTCAAAGCGTGCTGGAAGCACCACTTCCAAGGTCTTACTCAGACTCAGCTCGCATTTTCAGTGGCTTGCGCTTGCTGCAAGGAGATCATATGTTCCCTTTCTTTTCTTGGAAAACAAGAAAAAACACAGATACATATATGATTCATGATATATTTATATATATATGAGATATATGGGTGTCCCCCAAAGTAGGCTACCCTAAATCCGATGATTCTCATTATCATGTTCCAAACAAAATGGTTATTCCGCAATTCCCTCAGTGGAGGATACATCCAAAGATAGCATTTTACTAAACATGGATTTTCCAAAGATACATCCAACAAAAACCTTGGCAATCACCCATCTCAGCCAGATGTTATACCAAACTTTGATGAATTTTCCGGAGAAAAACATATCCAAAGCGTATCCAACCCATCACGGCCTGGGTCTTCTGTGCGAGGGCTAGTGGCCGTGCTCTCCACACCTGGAAGCTGAGTGGACGTTGTTTGTGGTTTGAGGAACCACCGGATATCTGGGGATATGTGTGAAGATACAATCAAATATAGTGCAGTTATAGCCATTTATTAGTTATAACTGGTTATAAATGGGATTATACCTTCTATAAATGGGGTTATAAGTACTATTAGGTACTTATAACTGGTAAAGGGCCATAACTGTGGGATATTGCGGGGTATGATTGGATATGATGAAATTGGTGTGATATAACTGATATAACTGTCAACAACAGGGACTTCATTGTCACGTCTAGTCTAGGATATAACCCCTGATGCTAAATCCAACGCTGCGGGCTGCGGCACCCGAAATTCATGCGGTCTACCTTGGATCCTAATTCAACATCTGCTTGAACAGGAAAAACAACGTTTGAAATCACCAGCTGAGGTGTATTTCCTGAGGCAGTTGCTGATCAAATCCACTGATCACCGGAAATTCCGAGCCGTGCTTCCCACTTAGTATGTCACAAGCTGCCAAAAAAAACGGGGTATACGTAAGGTTTATCCAATTGTAACAAGTGTTGTAACATGTTACAAGCTACTTATGAAATGAGATGAACCACCAAGTATAATTCACAGAAAACAACCTTCAGTCCTTTGTGTTCAAGCCCTCCTTTCGCAGGTGTACTCTACATTCTTGTCGAAATGTTGGTTTGCCTATAGCTCCAGGTTATAACTACGGTTCATGGCGCAAAGATAGTAACGTTGGTTAGCATGAGTTTTGCCAGTTAAACCCATCACTTACCCAGAGTTCATGGTTGGATGGGTCAATATGCACAGCTGCGTATGGCACCTACACCATCCAAGGTGACGCTTGAGAGTCTGGAAGGAATCCTCAGCTGCCATGACGGCGGCTGAGACCCCCAACATGGGCGTAGCCGAGACCCATGGCTACGCCAGTGCCATGTTTTTTTGGATTGGGTACTGTACTCCCTAACAAAGGAACAGCCTTGGGATGTGCTATGCTGCTTGGATCTCTTGAGTGGCATGCTGAAGCAATTCATAGACCCCATATGATAGACGTTTGGGAAACCTCCCAAAAGATGTTATATTATTAGATATGGTTATTGCAGGGTTTGACACCATGGCAGATCTTCAAACAATTTTCAAAAGCTTAAGATATTAGAGTTCCAAGTACGATAAGATCAAAACCTACCGAGAAATCCGATGCCAATCAATGCCGCCAGCATTTTATCCCGCCATAACCCTCACCTTTTTGAATTTGTAAGGTTTGCTGCTAAAAAAACAACATCTTTTCTTGGTGGAACGCGTCTGTCCTTTTGTAAATAAATCCTCAGGTTTCATGTATGACATGTTCAAAACATGGCACATGGGGTGTGGTCATCCATCCCATAAAGAGAAACCTTATGGCAAAACAAAAAAACATATTCATGGATTGATGACTATCCCACAATTAATGGGTTCACAATTTCTTCAAAATCCAACTTGTGATTTAGTTGCTGAATGTTACCACATTAATTAAAAAGTATATTTCCATCAAACCGACCCAACTAACATCTACTACCCTCTGGTAATTTAACATAGCTATTGAACATGGCCATTTATAGTGGATTTACCCATTGAAAATGGTGATTTTCCATAGTTTTTTGTAGGTTTACCAGAGGGTAGTAGTTGTGAAATCCAACAAACAAACCATCGACTCAGCACCCAGCTCATCATCCCGCATCTGCGGAAAGCGCCAACACGGCGAAAGGATTGAATGGAAGATTGAATGGGAATAGAACTCATCAACAATATATTAGGGACTATAATTGGAAATTAATAATCTGGGTAAATTATAATATTTCACTAACCTGAATTTGAACATGGAAATGGTTACCCTCTGGTAAACGTTTACATAACTATGGAAAGAGCCACCATTTCTAATGGGTAAATCCACTATTTCTATGGTCATTTTCAATAGCTTTTTGTATGTTTACCAGAGGGTATATTAGGGAATATCATGGGAAATTAATAATTAGGATATCATGAGGTGAAACATGTGCATATATTGATTTTGCGCCACCTACGGTCATGATAAAATTGGGCTTTCATGGGAATAGAACGAATGTTGGCAACCCAATGCCACAAACCTACCTTTTGGGGATGGTTTATGCCCATTTATGATCATTTATGGATATTTATGGTGATTTTAAGGGTCTTTGCCACATGGAAGATATGATGGGGATATCGGATATGATGTGGATTTACTAGGATATGACTGTTGATATGACCAAGCACATTACCACAAGGTGTTGCCTTCCAGTTTATGCGTGTTGGTTCCTAAACCCAACTATACGTAGCTATTTCGAACGGCTACGGCATGCTGTGCTGGCTACATATATGTGACTGTGAAGAGCGATGCATGGAACTGTAAAATCCTTGGTAGCCTTGGTGGAAGTGTCATAGTGGACACAAAACCCTTGGTGGAAGTGTCTTTCCATCACAAGACCCTTACCCGCTTCAAGCGCACGATGGAGTTGTCGGCGGGATCCTGCATGGAGTTCCTCTACACTTGTTGGTAAACAATTCATAGACTTGGGGTCCTTCGAGTGGCCCCCTGATTGGTGGTGGATATTGGTGGTAGTACTGGTAAGATTTTCCATTGGTGGAATCTCCAAGTGGAACCCATCTGTGGATTCGTTGGTGGTAGGCACTCTCATGGTGGAATTGTGTAGATGGAGTTCGGCTATTGGTTCATCACCGTAAACCCAAATGTTAACCTATCGTCAAAAGAATGTCATAAACCAACTTACATTCAACTGGGGGACTACCTTGTATATGATGTAAGAAAGGACATAGCCGCTATCTTTGGGATGATTTCTTTTAGCATGTTCTATTTGTAGGTCTTACTGTGAGGTGGTTCTCAGCCAGGAATTTCTGATTTTTTTTGAGCCAGCCCTTTTGTTGGGTGTGGTGGAAAAATACCTCCAGCCAGCGCCAAAAAAAGTCTCTGCGGCGTCAACGGGGGACAGTAACTAGGGTTCCCCCACAGCTTGTCTAGTCAGCTGCATTGCAGTCAGGAAGCACATCTATTTCAGGAAATATACACCTAATATTATGGCAAGATCCTAGGGTTTACCCGCAAGGTTAGAATGGAGTTCAAATATGATCCTTCGACATGCTCAAAAACCTGCGCAGGGCCCGTTGGGCCAGTGTTTTGGTATTTACCAGACGACGAACCCTAAACCCTAGAACCCTAAAACCCTAAACCCTCAAACCCTAAAACCCTGAAAACCCTGAAAACCCTGAATCCGAAAGCAGAAAACACTGCGTAGGCGTATACGCAGTATTTTCTGCAGTTTCTCTTCTCATGTTCGACGACAGGGAATCCTCAATGTTGAAGTCCGGACAAACCACGGGGTCTGTGCGTAATATTAGGTACCGCCCTAGATGCTTTATCTGGTTGGTGGTTGAGCCACCCCCCAAAAACATATTAATCAGATTGGATCACCATCCCAACTATTGGGGAAGTCATAGAAGCCATGTTCCAGTCGCCACCAACCAGAATTCCCTCTTGTTATTTAACATAGCCATGGAAAATGGCCCATTTATAGTTGATTTTCCCATTAAAACCTCCATTTATAAGGGATATTCCATGGCTATGTTCCAAACCACCAACCAGTTATAGATACCTAAATGTTTTCCAACCCAGAAACCACCAGCGACCCGAAAAACCAGTGGGAGCTATGGGAACCCACTAAGCACCCTTCAACGGTATACGGAAACGAACGCTTTCCCTTTGATAACTTCACAGTTTGCTATTAAAAATTACCCATGTTTATAGTATTTTATAGTGGATCTACATATAAAATCATGGTTTTTCAACAGGTGTTTCGATTTTCCATAGCTGTATTCTGCAGAATTTTTGCCGGATCTTTCAACGATTTTCGTCAGAAAAACACCCGGGTTTTTGTCGCCTCCAAGAAGGCACCCTCCAGCGTGGTTTTGGCCGAGCACAGGATCTGGGGAATTGCATGGGGCAGCTATTGGATGGGGAATGGCAAAGGGCTTATGTTGGAAGATGTTTCCATTTCCCATACCCATAGGATCCATGTATGCTATATATGGTAACATTTACCATCAATATACCCCCAATGTTTGCATATATACCATACATGGATCCTATGGGATATGCTCCATGGTGCTGGTATATTTACCTACAAAACTGGGTGAGTTTTATGGTAAATGTTGGTAAAAATATTCCAGCACCATGGAGCATCTGGGTTTGTGAGGAATTGCAATTTTGATGTCTGAGACCTATCGTTTTCTGGGTGGCTAAAGTCAAGACATGACATATATTAATATACATTATATATGTACTCCACATCTTGCATACTGCTGACATATTGACCTACAAATATCAAATCCAACGCAATCATCACCTTTACGCGTTTAGATAAGTTCATCATACATGTCAGTCTAGTGCAAGAAGGCCACCACCCTTGGGGTGAAATTACCATAGCTATACCGGACCCTGGTGAGTTTGTTTAATCCCCTTGCAGAGCGAAAATAATTTGTGTCATAGTTATAGGTATGTTATAGTTAGTACAGCACAACACAAAACCACCACCGGTGCTTTGAAAAGCTGATCAAAAACCACGCCCTTTTGGCCATGTTTTTTCTGATACCCTCTGGTGAACTAACATACCGGTATCATGAGTTGCAGTTGTACTTTGACTATGGAATTGCTCCCATTCCCATGCCGTATCGCAAGACTCCTATGGTTTGATGACCTCCAAAAAATGATAGGAACGGGAACCCATATTTTGACCATGGAACTTGTGAATTTTTGTGAATTTACAGGATATGTCAGGATTGCAGTGCTGAGGGGTATCTGATTCCAAAGAATGCCGGCATGAACTTAGGCTCCAGCGGTGTCATGCGCACCATTGGTTGGCGCCTGCAGAGAAAACCATTCCATGGCTACAGCCACCCAATGCGCTTTACGTGCCGCAGCACAAAACCACATGTTCTAAACGAACTCCAACAACACTGTAAACAAACACAAAATAAACACACATAACAAAACAATGTAGGTTTTAAAGGGCACCTGAGCATTGAATCGTGGTGAAAAAACATAAGAATTTGGTTGAAGGTCCCTTGAACCCATTTTCAGCCCATCATAACCACGGAAATTATGAACGAAACATGATCTTCAGAATTTCCCTCACCTTCTTGTTTGCCAACTGGTGGTATGATGTAAGCAACCAGCTGTCGCTTACATCTTTGGACGGCAAGTTCATCCCCATCTCTACCGGTTAGATTCGACAACAATATGGAAACCCGATTCCGATATTTGCTTCATCGTTTCCAACTTCTGAGATATATATATATATATATAGATATTACATAGTAAAATAAAATGTTCTCCTGAAAGAAGTTGCAAATGTTAACTGCTAATTTCAATGCTAACTAAAAAAAAAAAAAAAACTGCAAATTCACAGAGAACTCAGTAACATCTCAGTGATTGTTGTTGGTTAATATTGTCCCTAGCCCTATCCGTAAACCCACACATTATTTTGGGGTGTCACCAATATTGCGGCGTTCTTCCATTATCTACCCGTTATGACGTTATGTATTCCGTATATCCCAGTCTATATCCCATTCTATCCACACAAAATATCAGCAAAAAGGTAGGTCTTATTTCCAATGTCGGCTTCCAACAAAGTCCACATCATCATCGGAGTGAAGCAACGAAAAGGTCACAAATACGGCCCAACCAACACTTGCGGCCATGGGATGAAATAATTCCTGCCACTAAGGTGACACACACACACACGTATATATATATAATGTGAGGCCCCCAAGATAGCTAAGTTGGTTTATAACTCCAATAACTATGGTTTATGGTACTTATAACTATAGTTACTGGGGCTTATAAACCAACTTATAACTGGGGGGCCTCACCTTGTATATAAATTATATATATATACCACTTAAATGATGCTGTCTTTTCGCCAGTTATTAATATCATTTAAACCACTCAAAAAGCATCATTCAGATCTATGACAAATATATGACATGAGATTCCCAATTAGTGAATTCCCATCTCTTCCCGGTGAAATCCCAATTAGTTCCAACTCCTGGCCCACTGAGCCTCACAGGCCGCCACCTTTTGAAGAAGTTCGTTCAGTTCTTGCGAGACCTGCGCGATGGTCAGCCTGACGATGGTGGATGAAGGGTTAAGATACACAGCTGCAGCTAGGTGGGTTTAGGACTCACCTATACATATATATATAATATATATATATATATATTATATATATAATATATGTATATGTATGAATATAACTATATACGATATATGTATAGATACAGATTATGACAATTATATGACTGTATACAATGAGTTCATTATTGGAAAAACAACTGTAGTTGCATGGGGTTAACCAAACAACACCTGCCTATGGGACATTCAGACACCACGAGTTTCGGGGTTTTCCGATGACCCCACACAGGGTGGAGTTGAGATGGGTAGTAATTATACAGTATACCCCACATGATTGATAAAAAATCACAGAGTCGTAGTACCGTGTAGCACCCCCAAACAAATGGGAAAGTACATGAAAGTACATTCTCACACTATACTGACTATACTATGGTAGGATTCTACTTATATCTATCTTATATCTATCTTATATTTATCTTATATCATCTTATATCTATCTTATATCTATTTTATATCTATCTTAGAATCTTACATCTATCTTATATCTATCTTATATCTATCTTTTTGAGGACTATACATCTTACAAGTCTGAACCATCAGCAAGCTTGCTCTGACTCTGAGGTCTGAGCTCAAGATTCTTCACCTCGGGGGGGACACGTCAATGGGTTTTGTTGGTACCCCAAACTGGATTCGTTACAATAGAAAGTCTTATGAAAATGGATGATTTGGGGGTACCCCCGCCCAAAATCATAGGACACCTCTAATATCACTGTTTTAGGAAACGCTGATCAAAATCTATTGATATTAATTGTGGTAACTCCCATGCCATAAACCTACCTTTTTGGGGATAAGTTTTACCAGCCCTAAACTAACATGGTGATGACTTCGGGATGGTTAACATCTAAGATTGATGGATTTCCATGGATTTCTCACCCTTTCAACTGTCTCACAAAGTAAAACATACAGGTTGACCTACAAGAAGAAGTCCCCCAAACAGTATGTAAGTTGATAAACAGCCACAACCTCCAAGTGTCACCAGGGTCACCAGAGTCATTTTACCAGCCATGCTTTTGGGGAGGCGAGATATCACTCCAATTGGGCTTGGGGCCCAATCCTGCACACCGATTCCTGGGGATGTTGCGTATTTACAGCTGTGGAGCCCCCAAATTATCGACAACATCCGATAACATCCGATAACTAAGTTGGTGAACATAACTCCAATTTCACTATGGTATGATACTTACAACATCTCACAACTCTAGTTTTCATGGGGGTTAAAAACCAACTTATAACTGAGGAGCCTCACATTTCAAGCGAGGTATAACTCCCCAGTTACTAGCCAATTACGATCCGTAGGATGATCCTCCAAGCTCACCATTCAATCTTCGCAGGAATCGAAGCATGTTGGGGAGCTTGCGTTGGATTTCTACCTGGATGTCCCCATTTAGTAACTGGTTAAAATCCATACATATGTCTGTATATAAAGCATTATTAAGTTATTAACCATTATAGTAGTCAAACTGTAGATATTCATAGATAAATAATCTAAAATAATTTCATATGCATAGTTGCTACTACTACTCCTACTACTACTACTATTATTACTACTACTACTACTACCCACATTCCTACAATTATCCGTGACGTTTCACACAAAACAATTATCCTCTGCCGGTCTCAGGGCCAGACATTTTCGGCACAACTGCGAGCATCCAGCAAATGGCGTTCCTTGAACACCTGCCGTCGCTGTTAGCCCTTCGTTAAAGGGGGGGTCTTCAGTGACCGTTGAAGTCTATCAAGGTGGGGGATTGCAAACGAGAAAACTCAATTGGCTTATAACATCTTATAACATCTTATAACCTAGGTAAACCATGGTTTATGACAATTTCAAACAAAAATCGAAAAAATGCTTATAACAAGGTGAACTATGGTTTATGGTGAAAAAAATATTGAGAGACAAAAGGGTGTTTCAAGCCATGCTGGAATGATCCTTCTTACCGACGATCACTTCTAAATTTGGTGATGGCCCAAGTTATACCAGTTATAAGTACGAATAGAAAACCCCATTTATAGAAGGTATAATCCCATAGAAATAACCAGTTATAACTAATAAATGGCTATAACTGTGATGTACTGATGTCGCAGTGAGGTCTTCATAGTTCAATCAAAGCCAATTCATACTTTGAATGTTCCCTCAGAGGTTTTCGCTGGATCCATTGGATAAGTACATGTCGGGCTTTTCTTTCCATTGACCCATTACAGTATTGTATACTGTATATATATATATATCACAATACCAATGCAGAGAACACAATGAAATCATCATGTTAAAACTGGAATCCCCCCAGCTAGGGGACATATTCGCCTAGTTTCTTGACTCAAATACCTTGTTAAATAAAAGAATCGCTGACTAGTCTATTTTCCCATGTATCGCAAAAAATATCATTGAACTATCCTTCACCATGCAAGAAATGGGTTACTCCGGTTTTTGTGGAATTAGATATGTACACATAAAACCACTTCGGTTGGTCTGAAAATAAATAGGCTACCCCCAAGTCAGTTGATTAATCCTCATGTTCTCCATTCAAATGGCCTGTACCCCATTCCTAGACTCTTGGACAAACCCTGTTATAATATGTTATAATAAAACTTCTGTTATTTTCCAACAAACAACAACAAACTATACCGATATCCACAAAATTCCTCGTGTGGTTGGTGCTGTCCCACATTACCGTTTTTTTCAACTGGCCATCTAGGGCAAGATCTTCATCTGGTTGGTGGTGCAATAACCATCTTGAAAAATGATGGAGTTCGTGAATGGGAAGGATGACATCCCATATGGCAGTGGGTCAAAACCTTGTACCCCTGTAGTTCACATCAAAATAGCTGGTAAATGGATGTTCATCCCTCTAAAAATGGTATTGATAGGTATTGATTCATAGCCATATATGAAATGGAAAATAAAACATGTTCCAAACCACCAACCAGGCTTAAGGTGCCAGTGGGCTCGAAGCACCGGACCCCCCAAGGGGGCTGCCTCCTGCTCCTGTCGCACTGCTTCTAGGATTTCGGACTTCAAGGCCTGCGCCCGGCAAGCCCGTCGTGAAGTTCTCCATTGGGGAAACATAAATCTTCAGCAGAAGAACAAGAGCCTGGAAAGATTGTCAAAAAAATATTTTTTGGTTAAGAACCAGTTGGATGTCGAAAAATGTGGTGGTTAAAAGTTAAAACAATCATAAACCATCCCCCCACATTAAAACTCGCAAAAGCTATGATTGCAGTTTTCTTTTCGTGTCCATGAAATAAATCCCCATCATGTTTTTGATAGATCACTTCCCTTCCAATTATGGCCCATAATGGCCATGAATGTTCCCAAATTCCATCACGTCCCCATTTTTTTTTTTAATATTGCTTTTCTTCGTGTGATCCCCACCATGACATTTATAGATTTTCTTACTGGCAAATCTTCTGGCATGAAACTGATGACGTTGGCAACTCATTAGATCATTTTTTGTTGGGGGTTTCCTATCCTTTCCCCCATGGTTTCCCCATGAATTTCCATTTTCACCACCAGAATTTGGCACCGGCTCACCTGGGCCCAGTGCTCCATGAAGGCTTTCCTGGCGAACCCCGGTGATCAATGGAAAAGCTATAGAAAAATAACACTTACTATATTTATAGATTATATATTTATCATGATTTACTTATTAAAAATCCATATAAATGATACAAAACCATGGATGGCCATGGATGGCCCAAATAATTTTCGTGATTTACCTTTTAAAACATGGTAAACATGGTGATTTTCCACAGCTACGCTGATTTACCAGAAAGTTTGCATCATATAATTGGCCCAAAGAACCAATATGATAGGTTGATAACTGATGAACCTTGGACATGTTGATGTGCTGCCCAGTTTGTTGTCTAAGTTAGTGGCGTCCAACCCGGAAAAACACAAAAAAAAAAACGATATGTTGTGCACTGTGAGCACATATGTGTGTAATATATATATATATATACACACATGCACAAATATATATATATGTATATATATATATGTATATATATATATATGTATATATATATATATGTATATGTATATATATATATATGTATATATATATATGTATATGTATATATATATGTGCATGTGTATATATATATATATTATAATTATATATACATGAGGCCACACAATCAGCACCAATCACTCAACTTGGGATTAGCTCAGTGTCCCCAACCCAAATTCATTGAATGGTTTGGTGTAATTGCCAAACATCACGTGTACAGTGTAGATCAGTCGCTCCTCAACTTGATTAATTATGCATTTCTCCTGATGAAAGGAATGGCCGCAGGTTGAGCTACTGGCCAGGAGGTATGCAACGTGTCAAAGTAGGATGAAATTTACCCCAATCATCCTATGAGCTGGTTGTCTGATTGCAGCTTTGGATTTTCTCAATTCCTATATGCATTTGTTAAACAATAAAAACACATGTTGCTCTAAGTCCATTTTAAAACCTTCAAAAAAGGGTGGTGCCCCCCAGTTCTGGTTCATGAAAAGTATAGATATATCTACCATAGACCTAAGTGAAATTGGAGTTAGGTCCACCAACTAACAAACTGGGGCACCACCAATAGTAGTTGGTAAGCCTTAGTAAACATCTCGAGTTTGGTCAAATCCCCTGAGCTTTCATCCAAGTCTCTGAGGTACCGTGGCGCAAGCCGCTTGGTCCTCCGGCAGCGCAGCGCTCGGTAATCACCGATAGAGATCTGGATGTTGGGTGGGCAGCCTAAATCCAACAATAAATAAAACCTACAATTAGGTAAATAACTACAGTTTTACAGTGTGGTTTATGATGGTTGATGTTTTTGATTCGGATCCGTGATGCACAAACATTACTTAATGCTAAACCAAGTATGTGTGGATGCAAAAGAACGTGCACAGATCAACTTGTTACAGTACTTCCCATACTTCCTTGGGATACCTCGCGCACAAAACCTAACATCAAGTTCCAATTGGCTTGGGCCAACATGATAAAACTCTCAAACAAAAACTGAAGTTTTTTTTTCAGCAAACATGTCTTGGAGGTTTTAACCCATCACCCATGACGGATCCATGGTGCTGCTATATATGGTGTGCCATGGATCCCATCAATATACCCCCTTTATGTTAGCATTAATATACCAGCACCACACCATGGATCCTATGGGTCAGGAAACCCCATATTTAATGGTAAAAAACTATGGTTTCCGGTTAAGATTTTCCTTTAAACCAATCCAATCATTAGGGACAAAAAAAGCCGCTTGTCTCAAGCAATCATCCCCTTTTCGCGTCTGGGACACGCTAAAAATCGATCCCCAAATCCAGAAGACATAGACTAGACTGGGTATCAAAGCCATGGAGGCGAACCATGGTGCTGGTAAAAAACCTACAGTGATGGCCATTTATTAGTTATACCTGGTTATAAATGGGGTTATAAGTACTTATAACTGGTAAATGGCCATAACTGTACAAAACTGGGTGATGTTCTTCAGGTTTTTCTATGTTGGTGTGCATATTGCACCATGGTTTGCATTTAAGGGAAACACAAATGTATAATCGGACATTCCCCATACATGTGTTTCCCAGCGTTAAACCTCCATCCTTCATAATTCATCCAGATCAATCCCCAGCATCTCTCTCCTCAAAATATCATCAGTGTTGTTGGTTAAATACTTTGGAGAGAGATACTGATTGGTGGTTGAGCAACCCCTCTGAAAAATATGAGTCAGTTGGGATGATTATTCCCAATATATGGAAACATATAAAAAAAATGTTACAAACCACCAACCAGATATGAGCTACTCAACATTGACTGGTCAAATATATCCAGAATATATTAGCCGGTCATTGAACCATCAGGACCGGTTAGTACATCAGCATTGGACCATTCTGCGCTGCAAGGTGGTGCCCCCCACGGTCATAAGTTGGTTTATAAACCATAGTAAGTACAGACGTACAGATATATCTACCATATATAGGTATCATCAGTTGGTTTCAAAACCAGATTAATTAACTAGGATGTGACTATGAAAAGTATCATAAACATTCATGAACCGTATATAGTTATTCGAGTTATAAACCAACTTCGCTAACGACCTGGGGCACCTGGTGGAAATTCATGTCTTCACTCCTTGATCTGCAGCCCCTCACGGAGTTCTGCCAGTTGCTGCTCCACACGTTGAAGCCTGGAAAACGCTGCGATGCCTCCGGAGATCAACTATGGCTAGCCACTGATATAATAACTGGCTATACACACACACATATATTATATATATATAACTATAAGTCATATAATTTATAGCGCACTATTTACTATACTATACTATTATTATATCATTCATAAAAATACATGTGTATATATATATAATATATAAATACATATATACATATCCCCCACTCCGAATCCGCCGCGCCTTTGTCGATTCTCCGCCACCTGCTGCGCCAGCTGCGCCACTTCCATGGCGACAAGGCAAGGCGCCGAAGGCGCCGCAAACCGGCGGTGGTTCCGTGGTCGTTTCCGTTCAGTCGACGTGGTGAATCAAGGCTGAACCGTGGTGAAAACGGAGGTTTTAATGCGAAATGGAGATTTTCATGGGACATCATGGCAGATTCACCAAGAAAGGGCGGTTTTCAAACGGGCAAATGGATGTTTTTTTTTGGGGAAAATCCATCTAAAATGGAGGTTTATCGCTGGGAACCCTTCAAAATCCATCGTTCACATGACGGTCCATAGGGAAAATATTTGGAAACGGAGGATTTTCCAGCAAGCCTTGCTTGACCGGGGGATGGTGGCATTTATTGGACACCTGGGTTCAAATCAATTATGATATACTGCCGGAATTCATAATTAGCAAGCTCTTTCCTATCCTGATTTGCTCTGTTCTTGTATGAGTTTCGTCATCTTGTCACAGTAAATCGTATTGTTTTTTCTTCCACATGATGCCACATATTCACTTCAATAGTTTCGAGAGATCCCGTGAGTGTATCTTGGCAGAATTCTCTGTGTGTGTGCAATGTATGAGTCCCTGCTGGAGCCATGATGCCATGATGTGGTTGCAGCCCAGACGGGCTGTACCATGGAATACCCCAAGCAATCGTGTCCTCTCAGATCTTACAATGTTCATTTAATCTGCTGGGTTTGTGGATAACAGCTACTATAGAATTATAGCCCTTAAAAGTAATGATATGTTTAAAACCTCGTTTAAGTTATTATATTTGTTCACCTAGCTGCAGGAGGTATAATCCTATGGCCATAACTGTTGAGGGCCGTAACTGTAGATGGTTCGATTAGTCTTTCGCCCCGCAGCCACACATGACGAGAGATTTGCACGTCAGCAAGTGTTAGCTGGACCCAAACAATTGGAGCTGAACTCACCAATTCGTGGGGTAGACGCATTCGATGACCAGCTTTTCTAATTAACCTACTGTAATAGAATCACCCACTGTGACATTGGTAACTCAGAATATCCATGGAAGGTTTTTGGCATATGGCTAGTCTCAACATTGGTTTGTTGCGCTAAATATCACCATAGTCTATGGCAATTTATAGCAATACAGAAATTCATGCTGACTTGACAAGTCACACCCATCCCAAAAAAATGAGCCACTCATCTCAAGCAATCAGGAGCCAAGATTCATCAAGGTTGAACAACAAGAGGCATAGTTGACACTCCAATCCCAGAATTATCAGAATTGGATGGTCCTGGATGGTACCCATGAACCCCATGAATCTATGGTCCAGTGGTCCCATCATCCCAAAAGTCTATGGTATAGTCAATCCAATGGGAAACTCTGACCAATAATAGCTATGTTGGGACCAAACATCTTACAGGATTGATACTACCAATACTAATCAATACTCATCGCATTACTGATACACCAAATAAAAACAAATAACTTGGCTTGTACATGTTTATACCAACTATTTATGAAAAAAAAATGGGGAGAGTTTACGAAAAATGGAGGTTTCCGTTTCGTCATAGGGCTACCCCCAGTTCTCATGCATGGATTTTCCATGTAAACCATCCAGCTCGCCTGGGGGTCCCCATGGGGGTCCCCATGGGGGTCCCCATAAATGGCCCCTTTCTGGGCACTGGACTCTCGGGGTCTGGCCCCGGCAAAGCGTTCGCGTTCGGAATGGCCTCAGGAAAGCGCTTCCAGCACAGCGCCATGGAACTCATCATCGTTTTGTCCCATCATTTCCCGAAATCCCCATGGAAATCCAAGTAGTATTAATTAAATTAATAAGACTTATAGTACTGGTAGTTTTTCATGGATTTTCGCTAGCCCTCTGAAAAATGAATAAAACAATGCTGGAGTGAAATTGTTTAAGATGTGAGTTCGTCAGTGATTCTGACATTCCATGACATTCCCAACTGGGAAAGTCACAATCCAGCCATGTTTTTTAGTCACCACCACGATCCCATGGAATCCCATGGGCCCATGGTGAAACCCGGGTACCCTGGGCGCAGCACTACGACGCCACAGAAACACAAGTCGCAGTGATTAGAGAAGCCCTGGGCGGTGGGCCGAAGCCATGGAGGTCGTCAGATGGAGGACATGAACCAAGGCCTACAGTTATAGCCATGGCTATTAGTGAACTAACTGGTTATTTCTATGGGATAAAATACATGACCTATAAATGGGGTTTTCTTAGTACTTATAACTGGTATTTTGGGCCATAACTGTAAATCATGGGGGAAAATCAGCGGAATATGTTCATCATCTGTGTGAATATGAATTCATCTTTGAAGCACAAGTGAAAAAGTGATGTCTAACAAACCGAAAACATATTAATAATTATTGCAGATAATGAAGAATCGGCCACAAACAGCACTGCCCTCAACTATGTGAGCTAATGACCTCAACTATGTGAGCTATTGACGACATTCATCAGCGCCGGAATGTTGAAACCTTCTGATTTTTTTCAACAGGTACGGGTATCAACAAGGAAGCTTAAAGCATCTTAAAGCCCCAGCAACAAAATCAAAAGCCATCCGAAGTATGAGTCAAAGCTTGCAAAGGGGCGTACCATGGGCATTGAAAAACATTAGAAAGCACTAAAATTAGCCTACCCACAGGCTTGCGACCCACACTGTCCTACACTCATACTTGGATTTTCTTAAACCCAAACAAACAACTCACGTTCATATTCCAAATACATGTTTGCAGAAATGGTTGATTTACTGAGAATGAATCTTCAGATAACCAAATTGTCTAAGATGCTCCCTGCGCCTTTAATCATTTGTCCCATGAAACATGCCCCTATCCAGTCCCATGAAATACTGGATGGTTAATAGGTATCTGCTGACTATGGGTTATCATAATCCCCGATTAAGTACAGTCTAGGAACCAATCAACCATCACGTATCAACTACATCCCCATATGTTTGATGGTTAAAACCGCTAGATCACCTGTATCCCCTTGTAAATGATAGTTAAATCCCACTACTCCCCTTGGAATTCCATTCTCGCTCCGCAGTCGCCTGGCCCATGCCAGATGGCAGCCAGCGCCTTGCAGGATGCAATGGATGCAACCCTTAAAAAAATGCCAACAAGTTGAAAACCTGGAAAGGATGGAGAAACATCATCTATCATCATCGAATTCACATCCTGGTTTGATATGTTTTGTTTTTTTTGGCGCTGGGGCGGGGGCGGAGGTATGTGTCAATATGCATGTCATTTTTCTTCACTAGATTATAACTTTTAATTTACAAGTTACAACACCCATCTGCAACAAGACGCCATGGGAGATGGTACAACCATGGGATGTCACAAGTTCCTATAGAACCTCAGCTTCTCCTTCACAAACAACACATGAATTTAACTGAACATGGAATATCCCAATCCAACTGGTTTCTCATCAATTTCCGCATTCAATGGCCAATGTTCAGACGTGGAACGTGGGGCTCCTGTAAACGAAATAGCTAAGTTGGTGAACATAACTGCAATTTCACTATGGTTCTAATGATGCTTAACACTATAGCTACTATAGCTATATCTGGGGTGTATAAACCAACTTATACCCTCTGGTAAACTAACATAACTATGGAAAATCACCATTTTCAATGGGTAAATCCACTATAAATGGTCATTTTCAATAGCTTTTTGTATGTTTACCAGAGGGTAACTGGGTGGCCCATGCCTCTCACTCAGGAGCCATCCAGCTCACCATAGACCCGACCGCTCGGCTCTTACGGTGCTGTGACAGCTGGGCTGGGCTGGTTGTCTTTAGTGATCTTAGTGGGTCTTAGGTACATTTGTACATGGAAACTTTCTATGTGAATCGGAGATGCTGGGAAAATCCATGGGAAAATCCATGGAAAATCGCGATGTGTATGCGATGTGTCAATGACCGAAAAATCAACCAACAAAAAGGCGACCGAAACAAGCAAACCTACATGTTATTGAGCCGGAATTGGGCGCAAACGCAGCAATTTGCGCAGTCGGAGCAAAAAGCAATGAGCAGTTGGACGTTGCAGGATGTCAACAAGTTATGAGTGCCCGCAGTGGAAGGTTTGAAGCAGCAATTTGCAACAAACATGTTGCACCCTCCAGTAAACTCACATAGATCTGCAACATCCACCATAGAAAGTAAACCCCAGATCTTCATCATTCGTCCCTAGGAATCCACATAACTATTGGACATGGCCCAGTCGAAATAGTGAGTTTTCCCATTAATAGCATGGTGGTGATGTTCTTTCCATAGTTTTCTGTGGCTGTTTACCAATTTTGGGGTAGTTGCCCCAATCGAATAATCACCATAATTCACCATAATTCTGGCACTTGCTGTCACCAAATCTTTGTGACACAAGCACATTTATTCAAGTTTATGAAGAGTAAGGTCCCAACAGACCCATTGAGGCCTTATTTTTTATGCGCCACCGTCAACACCTACGAATGGGAATTGTTTAGCCCCTCCTGTTTAAGGACAAGGTATGGGGATACCCTTAAACTTCCAAATTCACGCGCACCATGGAGCATCTGGTCAATAGTGTGTCAAACATAGCCAAAATGAGTGCATTTTGCATGTTTTTCCCGTCCCCCTCAATATACTCTGGAGTAGCATAAACAAAATACTTTGAAAGTCGGTGAAGTAAGTGCCATATGTTCCATGAAATATCATTAAATTGTGAATCACTGTAACAATCCCATTAAATCCCATTAAATCACCATCAACAACCCATAAAACCCGATGAAATCCCATTAAATCACTACCAACAAAAACGTAAAAGCCCATGAAATCCCATTAAAAGAACCCATGAAACCCATAGAACCCATAGAAAATCCCACTTCAAAAACGCCACTGAAACCCCCGGTGATTCCTCCCAAAAAAGTCCCTAATCAAATCCCACATCCGATCCACCAGACATCACCAGTAATCCCAGGTCCGCCTGGCAGCCGCGTCAAAACCTTGGACGAACTCAGACTGACAAAACTAGTTCGTCATATCATAAACAA